GTAAGTGTGGTTATATAACACTATTCAGCAGGAATCCTGATTTATATGTACTTTGTGGAGTTGAAAATTTATCATAACAAAAATCTGTGCCAGGAGCAGGTGGCTCATGCCTGTAATCCTAGGTACTTAGGAGACGGAGATCTGAGGATCCTGATACAAAGCCAGCCCTGGCAGGAAAGACTTTGAGATTCTCATCTCCAATAAACCACCAGAAAACCGGAAGTAGCGCTGTGGCTCAAGTGGTAGAGCGCTCGCCTTGAGCTGAAGAGCTGAGGGACAGTGCCCAAGCCCAGAGTTCAAGCCCTACCACCAACCCCCACCAACCCTTCACCAAAAAAAAAAAAAATCTGTGATGGCAATATCATCATCTATTCAATGAATGTTTTTCATTTGGTAACAGACTAGTTGAACTTCAAAAACAGGAATTAACTTGTTATATTTTGAAAAACCGAAATTTACAAACTTATAAGGATATGCAAAGAAATCTGTAAAATATTTTCATAAGTGTTAGAACTGACAATACAGATGGTTAAAAAGCACATATTGTCTCTGTATAACACTTCAATAATAACAATAAAATTATTTGTTTTTTAAAAACACATCTTGCACACTATGTTGAATATGAACTTTACAGCTTTTTTGGGGGGGAGTTGAAGAGGGGGGGAGGGAAGGGATGGTAGGGGAAAAACAAAGGAGGGGGTAACAATGCTCCATAGGATATGTACTCATTACCTCATGTAACTGTAACCCCTCTGTACAGTATCTTTACAATAAAAAATATATTAAAAAAAACACATCTTGAGTCATGAGCCTGTCTCTGGTCTTGTGTGAGGCGGTGAGTAAAGACCTAGCTTCATGAAGAGGCAGTGAAAGAGAATATCAAATACCTCGTTCAAAGAAACAAACCTGATTTTTACACCCACACAGGAGGCAGGAACTGAGTCATAGGATAGGTGCGATTCATGTGGAATGTCCGGAATAAGGAAACCTATATAGAGGGAAGGTAGGTGAGTGGTTGCCAGCATTTGGGAAAGGGAATGGAAGGGAATTGGGAGTACCGGCTAAGGGGTGAAAGGGTTTCTTTTGGGGGTGATAGAAATAGTTCCCAAACTGATGGTGGTGATGGTTTCACAACTTGATGAACATGCTGAAAACCAAGAGTTGTACACTTTAAATGGGAGCATGGTGTGGTATATTTCAGTCAGGCCAGTATAGACAAAACAAGGGGTTCCTAGAAGACATGAACCAAGAGGTTAGAGCCCTGAAGCCACAGAGTCCTGTTCCCCGGAGTCTAGTGGGGCTGAGCTCCAGGGTTATCCTGAGTGCTAGAATTACAGGTGTATGCCACAATGCCTAGCTTTGTTTTTGTTCTCGTTTGTTTCCTTGGGATTATACTGAAGGCTCCTCACGTGCTAGGCAGACACTCTTCAATGGACTTATATCCCCAAGCCCACAATTCCACAAATTTTGTGAGTACTCACTATGCATCTGGTGCCAAATGTGAAGCAACTGAGATTTCTAGTAGTGTTAAGTACTTTCCTGGCCTGGAAAAAGCTTGCCAAGACTATCTTGAGACGCAGATGTAAGAGGCGTGGGGTGCAGTGCGTTCATCATGTGGATGCTAGGCCAGTAGCCCATAAAGAAGTTATGGGAGAGGGGCACACTTCATTCCTGCTGTGGCTCTGTGCCATTAGCACGATGCCTGGCCCTGAGAGGGCCATGGGATGCATCCAGGTGCTGGGATGGCAGCACCTGGAGGTCTGTCCTACTGCTTAGCTTTCTGGAAGCCTAGAGTTCCAGGCTGGACAAATAGGAATCATGGCCAGACATGTCAGATACAAAGGTACTGAGCTTCACTGGTCAGCCCCCTGCTCTAGCACCTGTGGAACTGCAGGCTTCTGGGAGCTGACTGGTTGACACCCACAGCGCAGCTATTTCTCATCTGCAGTCTACATACTATCAAGGACACTGTAAACTCTGTAAGGGGTTGCAGGCCATAAACAATCCATCCAGTGGAAACTGGGTTCCAGATTCTTCTAAGTGAACATATGTTGGCTTCACTAAGCACATTAGACACTGTGGTAGGTGACTCCCAGGTGAGTATGTTGAAATACCCCAAGGGCCTGGCTGCTGCTGGGCCAGCCAGGACTTAGGAGAAGGGTCCGGTGTCTTTCATTGGAAGCTGGAGGAGAGCCTGCCCCCAAATTCCCAGTCTTGCCTTGGAGCTGCCTCATTCATCCCATCTGCCAAAAACCTGGTGACAGAGGCAGCTCATGCTGGAAGCCAGGTGACTCCTGGTCCCCTTCAGATTCTGCGCAGTCCGCAGTCCTGACCCAGCATGGTTCCCCATGACTGTGTGCTTTAGGAAGAGGGGAGCTGACAACCCATCAGCATGGCAAAAACATCCAAACCGGAAGATAAAACAATGCACCCCAAAATATGACCTTATGCTCCCTGGGAGCAGGGAAGAGAAGGGAGGGGTGAAGACCAGGCAACGTGAAAAACTGCTGTGTAGTCAGCCTGAAAATTAAACAGATGTGAATTTCTTTAATTCAAAGCCTTAATTATTCTGACGTTTTCCATAACTTAATCTGAGCCATCGCTTCAGCTTTAATTATGCATAATGAAATGGATTATTTACAGTAACTAATATGACAGGAAAAACCGAGAGGTGAGAATTGGTAGCTTGGCAACTGTTGTTTCTTTCTCTTCTAACTCAGCCAGTGTATATTGAGTACCTACTATGTGCCAGCCCTTGCATAGCCCTGTACACGTTCTACTGGTTAAAAAAAGTTAATATTGTTAGAGGACATGTTGGGTGCTAATCTCTTTCGCTTGATTATCTTGAAATAATTCTTCATGACTGGTCTTATTTTCCTGACTGGTAGTCCTGAGTAGAACTGAGATTCTGAAAGTGGGTCATTTGCCTAAGTTCTCTCTCTCTCTCTCTCTCTCGTGTACGCGTGCTTTCTCTCTCATATACATACACACACACACATGCACACACACACACACACACCTGTGATTTTTGCCATCTACCTAATTCAGACAGAAGTAATTAACATAACATTAACATTACACACCAACATCATATTAACTAACATTGCAAATCTCACTGCCCTCCCTGCTTAATACAAGAAACATCAACATTTCCTAGGACATGGTTGTTCATTATGTCATGTTCAAGGTGAATGATGAAAACTTTGCCTTGGGGAAACTTAACCTGACAGTTTCCTATGGGGTACATTGGGGCCTATGGAGACAGTCCAGGTCAGAGGCAAGGGTGGCGGCAGAAGGCACCATGGGGGCTGAGCAAAAGGGAAGGCTGAGGAATGAGTGGACACTCTGAGAGAGAGGAGGAGAGTTTGCTGGCCCCGGGCTTGGGAAGGGCGGAGCACTGGCTGACAGCTCCCTGTGGTAAGTCAACTCTCTCTGAGCCTTGGTTTCCTGAGGCCTGGAAGGGGCAATGCCTAGCCTGGGTTCAGTGGCACTGCTGGGGCTAGGATTCTGAGAGAGTGGGCTGGGTTGGAGGCTGGCTCCTACTGCCTCCTGGTCTTTGTCTTGGGGTGGAGGGCTGGAAACGGGGAGAAGGAACAGGACCATGTTTACTTGGCTGTGTCTCCTTAGGGCTTGCTGTGGCTCCTCCACCCACACTGACTGACTGGCAGGTGTCCTGAGGTGCTTCATTTGTGGGGTGTGGGTATGGTTTTTCAGAACACTCATGGGGTCTCTCACTGCTCTCATCCCTGACAGGCTGATTCTGCATCAACATCCCCCCTACTCTAGGTCCATTCTTGCCATCAGCCTTGGGCTGCTGGGCTCTCTTCTCTCCTTCCCATGAGAGGAAGGGGAGAGATGGTTCCCTCCACTTTGCTCACGGCTCTTCTTATGCTGCTCCCCATAAGGGGATGGATGCTCTACCATCTTCTTCCCTCTGCCCTGGCCCTTGCTGATTTTTTGAGCAGCCTATGGTAATTCACTTGTCACGACTTGTGTGCTGGCACTGGACTGAGTGGGGGTGGAGTAGCAGCAAAGTGTCATAAAGGGCCAGACCTGACCCAGAGGGACAGACCATGACATTCCCCAGTGCACTGAAGTTTCATGACTCCAATTAATTGACTTCTCAGCATCTAGCACAATGCATTCACCTTGAGGAGGCATCTGCTCCCAGCTCTTGGCTTCTCTCTCTTTTTTTTTGGTCTGGTCGTGGGGCCTGAACTCTGGGCCTGGGCGTTGTACCTCAGCTCTTCAGCTCAAGGCTAGCCCTCTACCACTTGAGCCACAGCGCCACTTCCGGCTTTTTTCTTTTTTTGCTTATATGGTACTGAGGAATCGAACCCAGGGCCTCAGGCATGCAAGGCAAGTGCTCTACCACTGAGCCATCTTCCCAGCCCTTGGCTTCTCTCTTTAGAACGAGCTCTCATTGGTTCCCAAGTCTGAGTTCTACTCATCAGTTCAGGTAAGCAGAAGTCCTCACTTCCAGAGCCTGCTATGGAAATGGTGAGCTTGGTCCCCTGGCTATTGAGCCTATTATGACAGACCATGCATATGTCTAACACTCTACCACTTTGAGCCACAGCTCCACTTCAGTTTTCTGGTGGTTAATTGGAGGTAAGAGTCTCAGGGACTTTCCTATCTGGGCTGGCTTTGAAGCGAGATCCTCAGATCTCAGCCTTCTGAGTAGCTAGGATTACAGGTGTGAGCCACCAGAGCATGGCTTCTTAGCTCTTTTGATTTCTCTTCTGGAGCTCTCTGAGGAGACACGTGGTGGATGAAAACTTTAAAGATGGGCCCGGGGCTGACTAGGGCTGCCTGGCTGGCCTCTTTGGTACCATGTCATCATTGGAGTAAGTGATCAAGCAACAAACAGACCTGTGCTGTTTGGAGTCTCCCTTGGTTACCCCAAACCTCTGTTTGATTTCTTGCATGGCAACAAAGCCAGGGAAAACTACTGGTGCCTGGAATAAGTTTCTGGATTCAGGTCCTGGATGTCATCGAGTATGTGGGGATCAGCTCTTCTCCTGGCTTTGCTGGGGGCCACATCAGGTATGAACTTCGTTTGCTTCGAGACCTTGCTGGGTCTGCTTGGCTTGCAGGGTATTTGTGTAAGAAAACATCCTCAAAGAGAAATTTGCCTCTGGAAGGCCTTGCTCCACCATGGACTTACCTGCAATGAAGAATGAGATGGCTGGAGAAGACGGATGGTCAGGGAACCATGGTGGAATCTATGTTGCTCAATCTTCATTTTCCCACTTGGGTTCACTGGCCCGTACAGGAAGTCCTTCTCACACCTAGGGTTAGATAAATGCCTTTAGAGCTAAGCATTGTGAATGTGTTACACCAGTCTTTGTGATGATTGTGGCCCTTCTCTAAAGCCTTGTGTGCAACTTGAGGTTGACCATCATCCACTGGAACAGAGGAACATTGTCTTGAGCAAAGCAAAAGTCATCAGGTAGAAGGGCCAAAGCTGCTATTTCATGCTTCTTACCCCCTCTCCTCCTCATTCAAGAGATTCAAGAAACTTGGATGATTTTTTTATAAAAAAATACTGTCATTTTGGATTATTGAAATGAAGCTTTTAGAATTAAATTTTGCTTTTTAAAATAGCTAGTGTATGCATAATGTATGGAATTCAATCAGGTTAATTTGCAGGTTGATTTAGGGATAATTTAAATCTTTGATGAGTTATGGGTTAACTTCAAGGAGTATGTAGGACACAGTAGATACTTAATGTGTTAGTGATTATTATTCATGATGTTGGTCCTTACTAGTTGAAGAGTAGGGTCTTCATTTGTTTCCTTCAGGAGTATTTTAAGGTTTCTTTCCTATAGCTCTAACACATTCTGATCATGGTTATTTCTAGTTCTTTCTTTCACATTTTTTTTTTTTTTTGCCAGTGCTGGGGCTTGACTCTGGGCATGGACACTGTCCCTATGCTTCTTTTTGCTTAAGGCTTGCACTCTACCATTAAGCTGCAGTGCCACTTCTAGCTTCTTCTGTTTATGTTGTACTGAGGAATTAAATCCAGGGCTTTAGGCAGGCTAGGCAAGCACTCTACCACTAAGCCACATTCCCAGCCCGATCTTCTTTCTTTTATCTTTTTTAACATTTACAAATGAAATATTTTCTTCCCCTATATCTTCTATTTATTTAGTTTTATTATTTATTTATGTGTGTCTGTTTGTGTCAGTACCACGGCTTGCATTCTGGGCCTTGAGCTGTCATTTGTCTTTTTCTTTCAAGGCTGGTTCTCTACCAATTGGGCCAGACCTCTACTTCTGGCTTTTTGCTGCTCAATTAGAGATGAAATTCTCACAAACTTTCTTGCTTGGGCTGGCTTTGGACCACAATCCTCAGATCTCAGCCTCCTGAATAGCTAGCATTACAGGCCTGAGCCACCAGCATCTGGCTTTTCCCTGCTGTCTTTTAACATTGTGAATGCTTAGAAGTCTATTAATATTTCTTACAGTTTATAATTGCTTTTCAGTTAGGTATCATGCATTTCCCAGATTTGCATTTCTTTTTCTTTTCTTTTCTTTTCTTTTTTTGTCAGTAGTAGGGCTTGAACTCTGGGCCTGGGCGCTGTCCCTCAGCTCTTCAGCTCAAGGCTAGCACTCTACCACTTGAGCCACAGCGCCACTTCCAGCTTTTTCTGCTTATGTGGTGCTGTGGAATTGAAAGCTGTCCTTCAGCTCTTCAGCTCAAGGCTAGCACTCTACCTCTTGAGCCACAGCACCACTTGCATTTCTCAGATTTGAAATGAATGAAAAATTATACTACCCTTCTCCTATTTTTCTCTCTCCTGCTTCTTTCTTTGATCTAATTGCCAGACTGTTACCTCCAGACTGTTGCTAAATATCAATAGGAGTGTGCATTCCTGTTTCATTTCTCACTAAGCAGGAGGCTAGCTTCTGGTGTGAGAGAGAAATGTCTTATATGACAAGGAGACCATTTTTGTTCTTATTTTATTTAAAACATCTATTTCCAAATTAAAATGGATTTTGACGTCAAATGCTTTTTCAAGATCTTTGCAAGTGACCACTGGCTTTTCCTCTTTGATCTTGCTAAGAAGGTAAATAAATAGCTGGGTTTCCTAATGTTGGTCTCTCTTCTGTGTGGGCGTTGAGAGTCTGTGGAGGGCATGTGCATTTGTGAGTGTGCAGCAGCCCAGACTCCTGCTGAGAGTAAACATTTGCAGTCTTCCTGAAAATTTGGGCTTTTAGGGCCATCATCATTTGAGTTAAGAGGTGACATTTATTGCCATTGGGGAAAGAGAGGGTAGACAGAGCTTACGGTCTTATACTTGGACTCTGTCATTTGAAACTTGGAACACTAGACTTGCAGGAAATATATGAGTTTTCTCATAGAAAATTACATTTGAGTCCCTCCCTACACCATGCCATGTTTTTCCTTGTTTAAGACAAATCCCAGTTTTTGGAAGGATATCTGGAATGTAGACTGTTTTATCACTCATCTTTTATGAGTCTGAAAGCCTAATGGATCATGATTTCTTTTTTCTGGTACTTTTCCCTTTCAGGGCCTCCTGCTTACTAGGCAAACACTCTACAACTTCAGCTATTTCCCCAGGCCTTTTGCGTTGGATTTGTTTTTATTTCAGGTAGGGTCTTGCTTCTTCCCAATGCCCAGGTAACCTTGGACTTTGCTCTTCCTGCCTCCTGTGTGCTGGAACTATAGAAATGCATTACCATCCCTGGCTTTTCCTTTGTGATAGAGTTTTCCTAACTTTTTCCCAGACTGGCCTCAAACCTTGGCCCTCCTACTTCCACCTCCTAAATAGCATATGTCACTTCATTGCGATTCAAAGCCAAAGCAGGCAAGAACATCTGAGAGAATTATTTTATCTCCAATGTAGAAGCAAAAAAGCCAGAAGTGCAGGTGTGGCTCAAGTGGTAGAGTGCCAGCCTTGAGAGAAAAAGCCAGGTGATGCTCAAAGCCCTGAGTTCAAGGCCCAGGACTGGAACATGAGCACACACACACACACACACACACACACACACACACACACACACACACAGAGAGAAAATAAAATGAAAATGAGGGTGAGTGGGCATTCGAATCAAGAAGGTATACAGTGTGGAAATTAAAAATGAAAGGAATAATAAGTGAACCAGAACCAGGTGCTGGTAGCACATGCCTATATTCCTAGCTACTTAAGAGGATTGAAGTTTGCAAGCAGCCCAAGTAAAGTTTGAACAGTTTGTGAGGTTTTCCCATCTCCCAAATAACCAGCAAAAAGCCTGGCTGGAGACATGGCTCAAATGGTAGAGTACTCCCCCAGCAAGGAAGCTGAACAAGATTGAGGCCCTGAGTTTAAATCCTGATCATGACAAAGAAAAAAATGACAGAAAGAATAGAGAAAGAAGAAGCTGCATGCTGGTGGCTCACGCCTGTAATCCTAGCTATTCAGGAGGTTGAGATCTGAGGATCGTGGTTCAATGCCAGCACAGGCAGGAAAGTCCCTGAGACTCTTATCTACAATTAACCACCAGAAAACAGAAGTAGAGCTGTGGCTCAAGTGGTGGAGTGCTAGCCTTGAGCTGAATCACTGAGGGACAGTGCCCAGAGGCCCAGAGTTCAAACCCAATGACCAAAACAAAAACAAAAAAAAAGGAATAAAGAAGGAGAGAAGGAGAGAGAGAAAAGAACAAGGCAAGAAAGAAAGAGAAGAAGGAAGGAAGAAAGAAAAATGTGAAAAGGAGGGAAGGAGTAAGGGAGGGATGGAAGGAAGGAAGGAAAAAAGAAAAGCAATCCAAGCTCCAGCGATTCACACCTATAATCCTAGCTACTTAGAATGCTGAGATTTGAGAATTTTGGTTCGAAGCCAGCCTGGGCAGGCAAGTTTGCAACTTTTATCTTCAATTAACCACCAAAAAGCAGAAAGTGGAGATGTAGATCCTGTGGTCAGGTGCCAGTCTTAAGTGCAAAAGAACTCAGGGACAGCACCCAGGTTCTATGCTCAAGAAGGAAGGAAAGAAAAGGCAGATACTGTAATGCTTCATAGTTCATCAAGTAAACGTGTTTTCATACGTAGCACCTGCAGGGGAAGAGAGCTTTTTAGTAGGCCTGGTTTTTGTCTTACATTGTCTGGCAGATGCATCTGTACCACACTGACCCTGGTCAAAGTGTGAAACATGCTGACGAGTATTGTTCTTTTGTAACCTGTGCCCCAGCAGGCATGGCTTGCACCAGCTTATGAGGATTGCTAATCAATAATGGTGAGATAGACGGTTGACAGCTGGCCTCTCAGTGAGGCTGTGTGAGAGCTCTGCTATAGAGGCAAGTCATGGAGAAGAATAAGCCTCCACAAAAGAGAAACTTCCCAGCCTATACTGTTTTGGGCTCCGTGGTTCCCAGGTATCTGCTATGATTCTAATATATTCCCCGAAGTTCTGGTTTTGGGAACTTAATCCCTGCTGCAACACTGTGGAGACAGTTAAGAGACAGTTAAATAAGGCAGATGCTTGTGACTCATGCCTGTAATCTAGCTACTCAGGGGTCCCCAAAAGAGGCAGCTAAGCCTCCAGGAAGGTAGAAGGGGAGCTGAATTGCCTCCACATCAGCTCCCAGGAGGAGCCTCCACGGTCTTTTTGTGTGTGCTCGTACTGGAGTTTGAACTCAGGGCCTTGTGCTCTCACTTGGCTGGTTTTCTGCTTAAAGCTGGTACTCTACCATTTGAGCCACACTACTTCTGTTTTTTGTTGGTTAATGGGAGATAAGAGTCTCATCAACTTTCCTTCGGGGCTGGCTTTGAACCTTGATCCTCAGATCAAGGTCAAGCCTTCTGAGTAGCTAGGGTTACAGGATAAGCTACTGGCTCCTGCCACCATGGTCCATTTCTATAAGGAAATGCATCATGTATCCAGACCCAGCCACACTCAAGATGTTGCAGTGGCTCAATGACAATAAATCTCTATGCTTTTCCTTTGTCAGTGTAAGCTTTGAGCAATTCTAATTTGATTCTTAATTAAGACACATGTGGAAGTCAAATTCCATTAAAGCTTCTTTTGTGCTCTTGGCATTCAAGCCATAGAACAAAGACTCCTGGAAGTCCAACCTTGGAAGGAAGGCACAATGTCTGGGGAAGAGCTGTCCCCAGCCCTGCTCGCCCTCTGCCACTGCTCAGCTGGCTGCCTGTGGGTAGAACATTGAAAAATGTTCTGTGTACAGATGAGCTGAACGTTTTATAAGCCTGTGTCTTACTGGTTCTATTCTTAGCAGGTGGGCCGTAGTCATTTTGGATTACTATTCTTGCTATTTCGACCACTATTTCTTTGATAGCAAGGGAGCTGGAGAAAGTAAAATGGGAATTAAGATCCTGGCCTGGCTCTCTTTCTTGACAGTATCTGCAGAGCATCTGCCTCAAAGTTTTTTTTTCTAACTCAGTTGCACAATTGTGGCACATGTGAGCTGGAAAGCCAGGCCATCAGAAGAGCAGAGCTTTTCTACAGGAAGATCGGCAGGCAACGTATGTTCAATGTCCTACTATGGCTTTCCCCATACTAGGAAAGACCCCACCTAAGACAAATTGCTCTGAGGACACTGGTTCTATCCACTCCCAAAAGTCCTCCCCCACTTGCCTTTCAAAACGTGGCCATTTGAGAAACACTATGAAAAAGCCTTCCAAATTACAGAGAATCAGGTGGTTTAGATTGGAAGGCCAGCACTTCCCCAGAAGTTATCCCTCAGATCCAGGTCTTATCAAAGACGTTGGTGCCACAGAAGCAATGGACCCCACAGAACAAGCCAGGCACTGGCTGCATGCAATATTTGGGGAATGCAGCTAGTCTCCCCCATTGCTCAAAAGTTGGCCATCAATGTCATTTTGACCATTTGTGGTTGAGTGTGTGGAAAACCCTTTGTGGATGTTAGCAAGCCTCTCATACCTGGGCCCCATATTCCTGTACCGTTTTTTCATGTTAGCCTCTAAACTGCCTCTTCCAGATTTAGCACCTGAGTTGAAGGTCTGATTTCCTCTCAGCCCCCTGAGCCACACATCAGCCGTGTTGCCAGGTCGGGGATAAACATAGTGTTTTACACATGCATGGCACATGGTTGGCCAACCTTGTATTGGGTGTGAGCATCTACTATCTACAAGACTCACTGCGTGGGTGATGTTAGGTGTGTGTGTTGACAGTAAACCCTGCGTCACAAGCTCCCATCTGAACTGGATGCTAATGGCTCACATCCAGCATCCTAGCTACTCATGAAGGTGAGGTCCAGGGGATTGTGGTTAGAGGCCAGATGGGCAGAAAGGTCCACAAGAACCTACCTCCAAAAACAACTGGCAAAAAGCAGAGTTGGAGGTATAGCTCAAGGAATAGAGCTCTAGCTGAGCAAGCAAAGGGAACAAGGGGAGCAGACTCTGAGTTCAAAACCCCATTTATTGCCCCCCCCAAAAAAAGTGCCATCTGGTGGGAAGCACCTGGCACAATGCCTGGTGAGTAGGTGTTTGATAAATGCTAGTGCTTACTTGTTTTAATCTATTCATTTGAACAGAGCACTACCCTACCCCCTGGCTATTCTTGAGAATAAAAGAACACAATAAATCATATCTTTTCTTTCTGACTGGGCTCAGGTCACTGGGGAGGGTGGGAGGGACAGGAGAGCATGTAGGTAGGAGGGTGGAGATTCTAGGGGACAGCTAGCCTATCATGGGGCTGCGGCTGTCGTTGATCCAAAGAACAGTAGGGATGGAACAGTTGTGGGGGGGTTGGAGGGGTGCCCTAATGTTTTTCACCTGTGGGAAATGAGACCCTGAGGGAGTTAAGCCTATGAAAATGGACCAACTACCTAGCACCAGTAGCTTATGGTACTCAGGAGGCTGTGATCTGAGGATTGAGGTTTGAAGCCAGACAAAACTGTGAGACTCTTATCTCCAATTAACTAGCAAAAAACTGGAAATGGAGGAGTGGCTCAAGTGGTAGAGTGCCAGCCTTGAGATGAAAAAAAGCCAAGCAAGAGAGCAAGCCCTAGTGCTAACACATACACAGAGAGAGAGAGAGAGAGAGAGAGAGAGAGAGAGAGAGAGAAATAAGGAAGAAAGAAAGAAAAAAGGAAAGAAAGGGAGAAAAGAAGGAAAGGAAATGGACCAACCAAAGTGATCAACTACTTTGCTCAATTGGGAAATTTTTTTGGAAATATTTTGTTTCTCAGTTTCCCGAGTGTACTCTTGCTCCTAGTTTTGATTGGAAGAATGCTATAATGTAAACATCAATTTTATAGATTTAAAAAAATCCATTCATATTCACATCATCCTAAACCTCAGCAGTTTGGGTATCTGTGTCCTTGATGGTCCTGTCTATAAAAATCGATTATTCTGAGGACAACAATAACTTAGGCATTTAATCTCTAAACTGAAAGCATGTATATCAATGGGCTAATATTCCACTTCCTCACATTTTTAGTTATCCCTCTGCAGTCCACCCCTCCCCACTGAAATAAAAAGAAAATGGCCTCTTACAAGGCCAGCCTTTCCCCATGGCTGGTTTGTAGAAATTTCACACTATTCAGTAGATGAATCATTTTACTGTTCCTGTTCACCTTTGCACCTCCTCCTGATACATAATTTTTGTTCCCAGAGGCTGATGGTGGCCAAGGCAGGCAAGCTGGCTGAAGCATCACAGCTTCACTATTTACTATGTTCCATCTGTAACACGAGGACAGTAATACTTATCTGAGTTGGTGTTTTGAGGAGTAAATGAAATAATCCATCTTACATTATAGGAATGTGGGAAGAATGGTAATTACATTAATTTTCTAGGGCACAAACTTAAGTGGCTTAAAACATCACTAATTTATTTTCTCACACATGGTTCAGACCAGAAGTCTACATGTCAAGGTGTCAGGATTGAGTTCTTCTTACCAGTACTGGGACTTGAACTCAGGACTTCATGCTCTCGCTCAGCTCTTTCAGCTCACAGCAGGCTAACACTTGAGTTGCACCTCCAATTTTATTTTATTTTTGTGCCAATACTGGGGCTTAGAACTTAGAGCCTTGCACTTTTGCTTAGCTTTTATGCTCAATACTGGGTCTCTACCACTTGAACCACACCCCTACTTTCAGCTTTCCTTGCTGGTTAATTGGAGATAAGAGTCATGAGGATTTGTCTGCCCGAGGTTGGCTGCAAATCAAGATCCTCAGATCTCAGCCTTCCATGTAGCTAGAATTACAGGTATGAATCACCAGCTAGTGATTGCTTTTTATTCCTTTACTATAGCTGCATCTTCAATTTCTGCCTCATTTTTGCAGCCTTCTTTTCTCGATGAAAAATGTCTCTGTGTTCTCCCTTCTTACAAAGATTACAGTCACTGGGTTAGAGCCCAACTTAATCCAATATGACTTCCTTTCAATTAAGCACATCTGTGTACCTAGGCTCTCGTTTCAAAATAGGATACATTTTGAGGCTCTGCGTGGATGCAGATCTTTAGGGGACATTCTCTATTCCGCTTACAATAGTACCTGGTAGTATAAAACCATGAGCGAAGCAGGGGCTCTGGTTGCTGTTTTCAGTACTGACCGAGTCTCAAAGAACATCCTGGGGACCAAGTCTTTACTGGAAAAAACACACAGTGTCTTCAGTTGTCAAATTCCCCATCTGTAACACAGCCCAAGGCAATTCATGTGTCATCCTGAACTGCTTCTTTTCTCACCAAGCTGACCCTGTAGACCTGATGCCCCCAAACCTAGCATCCAACAATAGCAGGTAATTGTCCTTGACATTGCCAATGGAGGTGGAGAGATACCCTGTGATTGTGGAGTTCTCTAGTCAGTTGTACTCAGTTCTCAGGTGACCCCATTGCCATGGAGGAGTTTATTACCTTTTAGAAACTTCAGGGCCCTGGCAAGAGAGAGGACGCCATTTCCCAACTAGAGCCTTGCAAGAGTAGGCTTTCATGTTTCCTTTGCCCTCACTCTTTGACGGACAGAAATGAGGAGAGAGGGGGGCAGGCAGAAGAAAGCAGCAGCTTTGTTTACAGAGTGACAGAAGCAGATTTCATGGCTGTTTGGTGGGGCTGTTTCCTTGGCTCCCAAAGTCACATTACCATTCCCAGCACTTGGCAAGAGCCTTTGGTGCTGCGGAGTGACCAGGGCCCATTATTACCCTGAACTGAAGCCACAGACCAGGGTGTTAAGTTTCCTATTCCCAACAAAAATGCTTTGTGTTTCTGCATCTTTGTATCTTGTTTAAATCCATAGGAGAAGCCCTACACCTGATCCACTTACCTGCCACCAGCAACGTGGCAGAGAATTCTCCCCCTGGGACTTTGGTACACACGTTCTCTGTGAGTCTGTCGGTGTCCGGGTCACCTGTGATGCCCACATTTCCCCTGATAATCAACTCAAATCCCTTCACTGAGGCTGAAGTCTTCACGGTGAACAGTGTGGCAGGCACTGACTTTGAGGTAAGAGGCCTCTCAAGGTGCTCCTCACCGTGTGCAGAGAGGCCAGCCTGAAGACAAGGAAGGCCCGGGGCTCCAGGCCTGCTTTTCTTCTGTTCTCTTCTGCTGAACTTCCTATCTTGTAAGATTCACAAGCCTTGTTTTGGAGTCCCCTGGTCTTTGAACTTTCTCTCCTTAATACAGTCCCCCCTGAGCACTGTACCACAGGTTTGTTTATTCTTCCTCAATGCCAAGAGCCTGTACCTCAAACCAGGTATCAGGTGAACATTGCCTAATTTAATGCATTGGATGGAGTAGGCTGGGTATTGATCTTCAAAGTCCAGCTCTGGAGGTTGGAGGTATGGCTCAGGTGGTAGAGCTCCAGGCAATAAATGAAAGCATCAGATACTGAGTTTGAGTCCTGGTCTTGGACCAACCAACCAACAAACAAACAAAAAACACCAAAAAACACCAAATCAAAAAAAAAAAAACCACAACCCTCAGGATTGGGTGGCCTTCTATATACTGATTCTATTTTTTTCTCTGATTCTGTAGTATTTTTAGAAAGAAATCTAAAAATAGGCTTATTTAATATGCAAGATGTATGCCCTTTTATAAAAATAAAAACCTCTAAGAAAATGAAAAATGTATCTATAAGCCTAAATGCCCCTCCTCTTGAATGTTTTCAAACCCAATAATTGACACTGAGGAGTTTATTGTGTCTTTCCCCAAGTCAATCCTTCCCCATGGGACAGCCACCCTACCATTGCACCTTTTCTCAGGATCACCTTGGAAGTCTTCCACAGATGCCTTTGGGCCCAGGTGTCTGGAGCTACTTGGACTTTGGAATTCTCCTTCTTCTCCTTCCTCAATGGCCTGGAAACCCCACCCCACCCCCGCAATGGTCATCCACCATGCTGTTGGTCCTTACAATCTTCATAGGACCTAGTGGATTCAAGCTGGCCTGGTCAGGCTGAGGGTCATGCCCAGGGCATCATTGGCATCCCTGGGGATAGGAAGAGTGTAACCCTGCAGAACCCATGCAGCTGAGGCCAGCATCCAGGTGGGTGACTGCGTCGTCTGCTATGCAAGGAACACGTGACATGTCAGTCTCCACCTCTGAATCTGGTGCTGCTGGCTCTGGCCCTACCTGTCCTGTCTACCCACCCTGTTGCGCCTTTTCAGCTGCTGCCTGTCTGTTCTCAAAGCCTTGCCAATAGTTCCCACTTACAGAGTACATCAGATATGCCGGACACTGTGGGATGGTGCTTCGCCTGTGTCAAATCAATCCACTGATTCTATTTTTTAGTATCTCCTCTTTTTCACCAATGAGGAATATGAAGCATAGAGAAAGTAGGTGATTTGTCTTAGGTTGCATAGCAAGGAGGTAAGTAGCTGACTGTGACTGAAGAAAGAGCAATCTGGCTCCAAAGCTCTCATTATTATTTTTAAAAAGCTCTTTATTGAGGTGTTAGTTCATATGGCGTATTATTTTTCCATTTAAATGATATGTCAGCAGTTTTTAGTATAGAGGCATGCAACCATCGCCTCACCTAATTTTAGAAAATTTTCACTATCCAACATGAAACCATGTCACCACTAACTGACACTCTATTCTCAGCAGTCACTCGGTCTCCTCCTGATCCCAGGTCCCAGTCCCTAGTAAACTCTAATCTACTTTCTTCTTTCTTTCTTTCTTTTGTTTTGTTGGTTATGGGCTTGAACTCAGGGCCTGGGCGCTGTCCCTCAGCTCTCCAGCTTGAGGCTAGCACTCTACCACCTGAGCCATAGCACCACTTCCAGCTTTTTCTGTTTATGTGGTGCTGAGGAATCAAACCCAGGACCTTATGCCCCTCTACCATTGAGCCACCTTCCCAGCCCTACTCTGTCTTTATGGGCTTTTTTTTTTTTTTGGTCAGCCATGGGGCTTGAACTCTGGGCTTGGATGCTGTCCCTGTGCTCTTCAGCTCAAGGCAAGCATTCTACTGCTTGAGCCACAGTGCCACTTCTGATTTTCTGGTGGTTAATTGGAGATAAGAGTCTCACAGGGATGGGAAAGTGACTCAGTGGTAGAATGCTTGCCTTGCAAGCCTGAGGCCCTGGGTTCGATTCCTCAGCACCACATAAGCAAAAAGAAAAAAGCCGGAAGTGGCGCTGTGGCTCAAGTGGTAGAGTGCTAGCCTTGAGCTGAAGAGCTGAGGGACAGCACCCAGGCCCAGAGTTCAGGCTCCATGACCGAACCCCCCCCCAAAAAAGAGTCTCACAAACTTTCCTGCCTGGGCTGGCTTTGAACCATGATCCTCACATTTCAGCCTCCTGAGTAGCTAAGATTACAGGCATGAGCCACCGGCACCCGGCTTTATGGACTTTCTATCCTGGACATTTTGTGTGAGTGAGAACATCTAGAATGTAGTGTTTAATGACTGGCTTCTTTTACTTTGCCTAAAGTTTCAAGGATCACTCATGTTGTAGCATGTATCAGAACTTCACTCCTTTTTATAGCTGAATAATATTCCATTATCAGCATGCCACAGTTTGTATATCCATTCATTAATTGGCAAACATAAGGTTGTTTCCACTTGAAAGATCAGCCTCTATGGTCTACCTCCTTCAATGATGACAATGAATCTCCTTCAAATTGACCCAGAGGTTCTGAAGCACATACCCAGTTCTCTGTCAGAACACACACTAATTTTACCATCACTTAAAATTTTACTTCCTACTGTTGGATAGAACTGAGAGACAACAAGTTTAACTATGTAGTCCAAGATTACATGTTCATAAAAGATGAAGGAAGAATTTAGTTCAGTTTTTCTGATTCCTAATACCAGGCCATTTCTTCTGGGGACCTACCTTTCCACATTCCATGTAATTCAAACTAGGTGTTCAGTCAAAGAACTCTGTCTTATTCCTGACCTTTTGAAATGGTACATTTCTTGACCTTTCAACTAATCTAGGCTCAGGTAATCAACGGGCCCTTCTAGCACATGGTTGAAAGGTGGCAGGTTTGAGGTCTGACCCCAAGAATCCTTGTCAGTGACCCCCCATGCTGTGCTGGCTCACCGATGCTCAGCAAGAAAGATAGGAAATGGTTGGGACAAAGTGGCTCATGCCTGTAATCCCAGCTACTCAGGAGGTAGACATCTAGAGGATGATTCAAGGCCATCCCAGGAAAAAGTTAGCATGACCCCATCTCAGTTGATACGCTAGATGTGATGGTGAGTGCCTATGTGCCAAGTACCTAGACCTGAGGACTGTGGTCCAGGCCAGTCAGGGACAAATGTGAAGCCCAATGAAAAATAAGAAGGTCGAAGGCATGGCTCAAGTGGTAGAGTATCTCTCTAGCAACTGTGAGGCCCTGAGTTCAAAACAGATGGGGGCGGGAGAGAGAGAGAGGAAAGAGAGAGAAACAAAGGTAGAGACAAAGATAAAAACGGAGACAGATGCTGCTGTGGCATGTGGCTGATCCTGAGTAGAGTTCACTGAGAGCTGTGTTTAGTCAGAGAAGACTGAGTGGAGGAGGTGGTGAGTATTGTGTTTGGCTTCTCAAGACCTAGGCTAGTTAGGAGGAGAGGAGGCAGCCACAGCATGCGGTGGAGGGAGAGCGTGTTGACAGGTTCAAACCTCAGTACTGGCCAAAAAGAGTAGGGGTGGCAGGGTGTGTGTGTGTGCGTGTGTGTGTGTGTGTGTGTGTGTGTGTGTGTGTGTGTGTAAGAATCTGTTCGGAATCACATGGTGCTGATCCTGGCTAAAATATACTATAATAGAATACCACAGAGTGGACAATTTATGAAGAAAAGAAATTTGTTCCCCACTGTCTGAAGTCCAATACCAGACGTCTGGTGAGAGTCTCCTTGCAAAAGCAATCACATGGCAAGAAGAAAACTTAGGAGAGCAAAAGCAGGGATCAAGTCATAACCTAAAAGTAGAACTTACTTTCATAACAACTGACTTGTTAGCTGGGCACTGATGGCTCACACCTGTGATCCTAGCGACTCCAAAGGCTGGGATCTGAGGATCACAGTTCAAAAGCAGCCTGGGCAGGAAAATTTGTGAGACTCTTATCTCCAATTAACTAGCAAAAAAGCTAGAAGTGGATCTGTGACTCGAGGGGTATAGTGCTAGCCTGGAACAACAACAACACCAACAGAAAAAAACCAGGAACAGCACCCAGGCCCTGAGTTCAAGTCCCAGCACTGGCCACACAAAAACAACAACAATACCCCAATTCTCAAAATAAGGGCATTTACGAGACCCAATCCCTTGCAGCTTACCCAACTCCTAATGTCTCACATCCCCACAATGTCTCAGTGGCAATTACATTTCAACCTGGGATTCTAAGGGACCATTAAACTATAGCCATCTCTTGAAGGGATCTGGGCCTTCTGGAGTGTCAGAGGCTAAAGTGGAGGCAGGGTGTGCCAGAGCGGTGAGCTAGATGGCAGGTTGGCTCTGCCCAGCCTCAGCAGGACCTACCGCCCACCAACTCCTTCACTGACCACAAGGGATCCTGCTGGTATCGTCTCTAGATTCTGCTGGCCCTCCACCTCTCTCGGGGTTCCCCACATTCTCCAAAACCTTTATGGCTCAGAGGACAAAGTTCCTGGCAACAGAAAAAATTCAGGGAAAAGGCACCAAAAAAGTGAACGGCATGTTGATTAAGTTAACATTCCTTGTTTATGCACATGCCATTCTCTTCTGATTTATTCTTGGGGGCAGCCTTCGGAAAATTAGAGTAGAGTGACATGTGAAAATGCAACCGTGATTTCAGAGGAGCACAGTACCCTTTCTTTTCTTTCTTTCTTTTTCTTTTTCTTCTATTTTTGGTGCTAATCCTGGGGTTGAATGCAGGGCTCAGGCATTGTCTCTGAGCTCTTTTGCTCAAGGCTAGTGCTCTACTACTTGAGCCACAGCTCTGCTTCCAGCATTTTTTGGTGATTCATTGGGGATAAAAATCTCACAGACTTTTCCTGCCCAGGCTGGCTTCGAACCTCAGATCTCAGCCTCCTGAGTAGTTAAGAATTGCATGTGTGAGCCACAGGCGCTTGGAAGCTTCCTTTCTTAAGAAAATCCAACCATATTCAGGGTAACTAAGTGATCTGTCTAGGGGCCAACACCAAGTTGTGGTAGATTTTGATAATCTCAGACTTCCTGTCTCTGGTCAATTACAGAAAGACATGTCCTGAATATTTTTCTTTCCTATGAAAGACAGCATCGCACACGGGAGTCTCTTTTGTGAAGTGTCATGGGCTTCTCTTGGAAGGGCTAAGGCAAAACAACTCCTGACTGAAAGAGAAACAGTCTCCACAGGCTGGCTCTGGCTTTCCTAGAAAGGTCCCTTTGCAAAACACGTGCATACCAAGTGGCTTGCTGTTCGTAAGGTTGCTAAGAGTTTTGCATTTTGTTATAGGTTGTCACCACTGGGAAGGAACCACTAGATTTCGAGACAGGACCACAAACATTTGAGTTGCAGATTTATGTGAAGGATGATGTTGGTGTCACAGACCTGCAGGTCCTGACTGTTCAGATAACAGATGTGAACGAGCCACCTCAGTTCCAAGGCAACTTGGCAAAAGGTAAAACACTAGGATGCTGACAATGCTGCCCAGACGGTGGCATCAGGGAGGACCCAAGGGGACACCGCAGAACAGCACAAGTAAATAAACAAGCAGCTGTTTCCTTGGAAAAGGCAGCTGCTTAATGAGCAGGGGATAAATGAAACGGCCTCAGGCTCAGCCCAGCAATCATGCCATCCCACCCTTTACAGAAGCCCCCACATCTGTGGCTCCCTGGGTCCCCTCCCAGTTCTACGAGAACACCGAGGGCCAGGGACTCCTTGTGGATCTTTCTAGAGATCTTCTGATGGACCTTGCTTCTTGAATATCTGCCACAGCTTAGGAAAAATGATAAAGAACTGGCACCTACGAGGACTATTTAGAGCAACCCCCTGGCTTTGAACTCCATCTACATAGTGACAATCTCCAAGTTTTGTTTCAGCCCCAGTGTTTCCCTGAAGTCCCCACCTAGACACCCACCTATTCTAGCCAACATCACTTGGATGTCAAATGTCTTCTCAAACTTAGTGTGCCCCAAATCAAACTCTTGGTGCACACTCCAGCCCCCAGGTCACCCCACTCCACTCCCCGGTGTCTTCCAGTTTAGTCAGCGGCAACTCTAAGCTCAAGTTCAGGTTCAAGACAGTCTGGGTCTGAGTTCTGATTCTGTCACTAAGTAGTCCCAAGAACTTCATAACTTATTGAGGCATCAGTTTCCTCGCTTGTACAGTGCCAATTGCACTAAAAGAATAATTATGATATCTAGCATTATGGCGCATGCTTGTAATCTTAGCTACTCAGGAGGCTGAGATCTGAGGATCATGGTTCAAAACCAGCCCAAGCAGGAAAGTCTGTGAGACTCTTATCCTCAATTAACCACCAAAAGGCTGGAAAGTGAAGGTGTGGCTCAAAGTGGTAGAGTGCTGCCTTGAGTGAAAAAGCTCAGGGACAGTGCCTAGGCCCTGAGTTCAAGCCCAAGTACTGGCACACACATGCAAACAAAATAATAATTGTAATATCTTCTATAACACTGTTGGCTTGCTATGAAGGTAAAAAGAGAAAAGATATATTAATTCCTCATCACACTGCCTCCCCCAAAGAAAATTCCAGCAAGAATGTGGTGGCCCATCAGGTGAGGTTGCCTGCACCTCCCTCCCTGACTCCATCGCCAAGAACTGTGGTGCATATGAAATCAGTTTTGGCTCCTTCCCTGAGCCTCCAGGGGTCTCTCCCACCATCTTCCCTCTGTTCGTACTTGTGATGAGCCCCTCATTGCAGGCACCCCTTCCTGCTAGGATGCTAAGTATACTCCAAGGGGGTACTTGGCAGGACTTGGGAACAACCTGAACATTAATATGACCCTGGATCATGGAGTATCTAAGGCCCTGTGGCTACTCCCCAACTCTCTTCTCTCTTCACCAACCCTCATCCAAACAACAGTCCCCCCTGCCCCAGGTCACTCTCCACAGAGATAAATGACACTTTCACACTTCATTAATTGCCATAAATGATCCGCTCCTACAAGCAAGCTTCAGCTTTGACCGGGGCCCGTGGTGGAGTTCAGCTGCCTTGGACCCCATTTGCTTTATCTAATAGAATGCTCTGTATTTCCTTTTGAATGCTGGTACAGGCTTAGAGCTCTATGTAGAAGAAAGAGCAAACCCTGGGTTCATTTACCAGCTTGAGGCCTTCGACCCAGAAGACACGAGTCGAAACCTGCCGCTTAGTGTAAGTCTTCCTGGCAAACAGCAAAAGGGTTTGTCCCTGGGGGCCTTGGCACAGGAGCCTGGTGTCCAAGCTAGGTGGGTGTGGGCAGTGGCAGCCAGGGTTATACTCTGTCTACTTCCAGAGCTGGGGATAGAGTGGCTGGAATGGGTCAGGGATTCTGAAGACATGCCCCAGCCTAGAGTTGTGGCCCTGTATGACCTTAGACAAGTTCTTAAACCTCTGTGAGCTTCAGCTTCTTCATGAGTAACACAGAAAGAATAATAGCACAGGATTATGAATATTAGATAACATATGTAAAGCCACTTAGCGCAGTGCCAGGCATGCCAAAATTGCTTGGTGTTTTAACACTTTAAACTGGCAAAAAAGAAATTAACCTGTACTGTTTTAAAAGGAAGTATCAAGAATATACCTACACCCAAAGCCAGATACTAACATAGCCTTTACAAGAGTTGAAGCCAAACTGCTTGGAGCCAAATTATAGAAAAGAAAAGGGGGGGGCTGGGAGAAAGAAAAAATGAAAAAATAGAAAAAAGGAGTCCCAGGGTGCTAGGTATGGGGTTCACGTCTATAATCCTACTAGGGAGGCTGAAATTAAGAGGCTCTTGGTTGAAGTCCAGCCCATTCCAGTCAAAAGTTCACAAGATTTCATCTCAGCCAATAAAAAGCTGGGCCTGATGGCACACACCTGCCATCCCAGTTACTTAGGAAGTATCAATAGGAGGATTGTGGTCCAGGCCAGCCCAGGCAAAAAAGTGAGACTATGCAAATAATAATAATAATAATAATAATAATGAAAATGTTTAAAAGGGCTGGAGGCATGGCACAGTCCATAGGGTAGAATGCCTGCCCGGCAGTGCAAAACCCCGAGTTCAAAGCCCAGTACAAAAAAAAGTAGAGAGCTATCTGAAGGCACAGTATAAGACAGCTGGAGCCTCTTCTGTCCCCTTCAAAATTCACTTTCCTTAATGGAGCTACCAGGGGCTCTTGAACCTCCCCAATCCCCACCCTGCCATGAAGTCACTTAATTGTCTGGCCTGGATGCCCCTGCTCCTCCACCTGCCCTGACTGGTGCCCTGTGAACACACAGAAGCCACGCAGCTCCACCTGGAGGGGCGCAACGAAGCGAATTCCACCCAGTTCACCTTAGAGCAGACAGTGCCACTGCTCACAGGCCTTACCCGGAAGGGATGATCCAGAAAACTCTGGCATTTGTTCCTTCCTTTTATCCTTTTAAAAGAAAATTTAAAAGAATACAGTTGGAAAGCCATGGATCTGGTCAAGATGCATTGTACATATAAATGGATATATTCAATTGAAGTCCCCCCTCATAGAAACTATTTGAGGACAATAATCAAAAAGTAAACAAAAGAATGTAGCTGAACATTGTGTAGACCAGTACCGTTCAATGCTGGACCCACATAATCCAATAGAACCAGAAAATGAGGACTACATATCATATTCAATGTTCTGGTAGCCACAGTAAATATCTAAGAAAACAGAAGACATTAATTGTAAGAGAGACTGCTTAACCCAATATATCCAACATATTTTCATTCTAACTCATAGTCAAAATAAAGGTGACTGAGATATTTTATCTCCTTCTTTGCAGACCACTAAAACTTGCCTTGTGTTTTACACTCGCAGCTTATTTGTGGTCAGATCCCCTTCACATCTCACCAGCACAAGGTTAGTTAGTGGCTGGTGTGTGATGCCCAGGTTAAGGCCTAGCTCTAGCTCCTCCTCCATGGGTGCCTTGAGAGGTGGATACAGGTGGATCAGGGATTCCAAAGTCGGCTTCATACAAAGAACTGGAGGTGTGGTTCAAGTGGTCAAGCATCTATCTTGAGTGAAAAATCCAAGCAAAAGCTCAAGGCCCTGAGTTCAAGCCCCAGTACTGGGCCTTGAAATAATAGTAATAATAATAATAACAATAACAGGCTCAAACATAAAGAAAGGAAGGATGTTCTGCTTGTGAAGAGTTACATCTCCAGCATTTCTTCTTTCTCCCTGAAGGGTCTCCATCCCCTCTTACCCAACTCTTGCCATCCCTCTCCCGGCCTGGCCTCCAGATGGCCCTGTGACTGGAGCAGAGCCTCCCTGGAGACCAGACATTAATAGGTTTCTCAGCTGGAGGCAAGGTGATCTAGTGCAGCCATCCTTCCATTAAGGGGCTTTCTCCGGCCCTTCTATTAAGGAAGGGCTTTGCATAAAATGAGGTGTGCTTTGTCTTCACCGGTGAAGATAAAGGATTAAATTAAAAGAGTAATAATCTAGCTGGTAGCTAGGCTAGTGGTAGAGCAATGAAGAAGGCATGCTTGGGCTCTCTTTGTGGCTCCAAGGACTGGAAGCCAGTCTAGCTTTTTGATCTTCCTGGGAGTAAAGTGATCATTATCTGCTCAACTTGGGCCTAGCAAAGTCCTGGCTGGGTAGGACATTGCCAGTTCATACTTGGGAGGGGAACTGAGGGTTTTTACCTGGTTGAGGTAGTTGCAGTGAGAACAGAGGTCTCCCGGCTGTCTCCTGCTCTTCTCTTTCTTCCTTGTTCTGGAAATTCTGTTATTGACCTACCTTTACCTACTTGAGTGACAGTACCCCCACAATACCCATCCCTGTACCCTACTTTCTCAGCATTCCTGGTGTCTGCCTCTGAACTCCAGAGTCATAACTGGAAGTCTTCAATAAAGGTATTCATCTCCAGGTTCATGTTAAAATGCTCATAAAAGGAAAAGGCAGAGGGTCAGACATTCCCCTGTCAACTCTGTTGCTGCCTCTGGCTGGATTATTTTAGGAGAGACACACAGATGAGGATCATTGCCCTAAAGAGTAGCAACGGCTGAGTCATGCACCATAGGACCCATGCTGTCCTTGGCAAAGAGATGTGATGCCCTCACATCTGCCGGGTTATATGCTAATACAAAGATCTGGGCCAGACACTGGTGGGTGGCTTACGCCAATAACACTAACTACTCAAAAGGCTGAGAGCTGAGGATCCTGGTTCAAAGCCAGCCAGGGCAGGAAATTCTTCGAGACTCTTATCGCCACTCAACCACCAGAAAACCGGAAGTGAAGCTCAAGTAGTAGAACACCAACCTTGAACAGAAAAAGCTGAAGTGACAAACAGCATGCAGGCCCTGAGTTTAAGCCACAGTACTGGCACACTTACCAAAAAATAAATAAAAATGGGCTTTTGTCAACATGTTTCTTTAAACATTTACATACTTGTCTGTAACCCACATAAACTTCACCTTCATAGCCATAACAACCCAGAAAAGATCTGGGTTAGGACTTGCTGTGGGCAGTAGGCTTCCTTCCCTCTTCTTCCCCCACCCCCGCACTCCCATACTGGGGGAGACTTGCAGCAGGACTGTGGCATTGCATGGTATGGACCTTACCATCCCCCAGCTGAAAGATCCAGCTGTGTGCTGTGGGCCTCTGGGGAGGGGGTGTCTGGGGTCCTATGCTCACAAGCTTAGAACCTCTATGGCACTCTCTGGACTTGGGCAGAATAAAGGCTCTCCTGTCCTTGGGACATTTGCTCTTGTGTGTCCTGGGAGCTGACTGCTCTGTTCGCTAGGAGCTGGGAGGCTGAATCACTGGTGGGTGACTCTGACTGCAGTTGGCGGCCACCCAAATATGACATGTCCCCCGTATTCCCCCTCCGCACCCCCTAGCGGACTCTTCTAGAAACTGAGCCAGTTTCCTGTCACCTTTTCCTTTTCCCTACACCAGAGGCCCACAGACAGTGAATGGAGCTGGAAGTGGGGGGCTCCTTGGCATCCTAAAGAAGCCTTTGTGTCCAAGAGCTGCAAAGTGGCTGGGAACAAGGAGCTGGGAGGTGGGGAGTCACGGGGGCCGTGGGGGACGACCAGAGAGCTGGTCTGACAAGCCTCTGGGAATTGAATTGATCTGATGACTCAGGACTTTTCTCAGCCAGGACTGGGGCAGAGAGGGGGCTGCGGGTGCTTTTCATTCTATTTAATTTCTGTTTTCCAAGAATGAATATCAGGGGAGCAGATTTGATTAAACAAGCCTGTAGTACGGGGGAGAGAATGCCAGGTTTTACAGAAAGCCTTACTGAGTCGCTGGCAAATGGCCCACATGACACAATATTTTTAGTCTATGGATATTAGCTCTTTTCTAAGTACATAACTGCCATTCCTATGAACAAAGCATGGAGGTTTGGGGGGGGGAAAGAAATGAGCCTAGAGCTAATTAAACAAGAAAAAAGATTCAAGATTCCAGGAAATCAGCCTCTTCGTAGAAATTGAGGAAAATGCCGGTGACCCTAGTTCTGTGGTTCTTTGTACCATTTCTATCTATTGCTGCTTCCTCTTTCCTCTCCTCCCCTGCCCTCTTCCTCCCTGCCCCTCTCCTCCCCTCTCCCCTTTTCTCCTCTCCTCCTCTCTGTTCCACAGAAGTTCTTGAGACTATAGACTGAATTGGAGGCTTCAGAGCCAAATCAAGCTTTACCACATCCAGAGTTTTACAAAAGGTTTGGTATGATGGCTTTTGTTGTTTTGTTTTTTAAGATTCTTCTAAGGTGGGATGTCAGTCTTTCATGAATGGGGAAAGAACAAGGAGGAAACCTCAAATATTTGTGAGGTTTTACAATGAGAACTTAGTATGTGCTCCCCCTCCCCACCCCGATTATGCACTGAGAATGTGGCGGTGAAAATGAAGACGGTCCCTTAAGATCTGACTTTTCTTTTTCTTTTTCAGACTATGTAGCTCAGGCTAGTCTTGAACTCACAGTCCTCCTATCTTTGCCACCCAAATGCTAGGATTACAGATATGTACCAACATTCCTTCCTTCACTCCCTTCCTCCCTTCTTCCCTCCTGTCTTTCCTTCCTTCCTTCCTTCCTTCCTTCCTTCCTTCCTTCCTTCCTTCCTTCCTTCCTTCCTTCCTTCCTTCCTTGCTTCCTTCCTTCCTTCCCTCCTTCCTTTCTTGAGTTTTGAGGATCAAACCTAAGGCCTTGCACACGTTAGACAAGTGTTCCACACTGAGCTACCCCCTCAGCCCTAGGATTTTACATTTGAACTGGACAGAAGCTAACAATGTTGTAGGCTCACTGAGGGCCAAGCCCTGTGGCAGCACTTACACAGGCTGAGTCCTGTTACTCTTTGCACAACCACACAGAGCTGGAAAGTGATGAAACCAGGATTCGAATCCAGGAAGTCTGGGTCCAGATTCACCGAATCTGATTTCTACCCCGGGTTGTGACTCACATGTTCCAGAAGGGTCCGAGCCTTCCTTCTCTTTCCCAGGACATCCCATCTTTGTCACCCTAGAGCACATCTTCCCTATCATCTTTGTCTGTTCCCTTGGTCGACCATAGCCTTGGGAGAGGCAGAGCCTGACATCGTCCAAACACATGTGGAGATAACCTGATTCAGGTACAGAGAATAATGTCCCTCATAGGTCTCTAAAACCTTCCTTCCAGCACCTTTGTCTTGGGCATCTGATTTATAGATGTGTGAGGACTTCCTGCAGGGAAGGCTCAGCTTAGAGATATAAGATTGCTTGGTGTGTGGGCAACTGCAGGCCCAAGCAATTGCTCCCCAGGCTGGAAACCCAAGAGTTAGTGGGGAACTTGGAATGTAAACACTATGTGTTGGGTTTCTGCCAAGGTGCTTATACAATTTGAGGGGGGCTGGGAGAAGGATGCTTCTTGGTACTGCTCAAAGATTTCTTTTTCAAAAGGAGAAGGAAATATCTAAGTGACACAACCAGAAAGATTTGGTAAAATAAACTTATGGACTAAAATGTTGTGCCATTTAACGACCTAGGCTATAAAGTAAGATTTAAGACTGAGTAAATGCTCAAGATACAAATGAAAGGAGTGAGATTTTATCGTTTTGATTAGAACTTCATCTTAAGAATTCGAAGGCTATTTCTTTCCTTTTCCCAGAAAAGAAAGACGGCTGTTCACTAAAATGATGAGATGGTATAAGGGACAGATACTTTGCTGTCTCAATTTTTGCATAAAAGTATATTCAAGACAACCAGAAAGAGATTATTAAATAGCAAGTTGAAAGTAAACATTGTAACAAAAAGGTTTAAAAACCTTGTATTGGCCCCAAAGAGACCCTTTCTCTATTTACTGTGTCTTTTCTTCTGGTACTAAGGACTCCACAACAATCACAGAGCAAATTGGTAGATTGGAAACCTTGTCGGTATCTCTTTGATTCTAGGCATCAGCGGCTGTGGCTCTGCTTCCAAAAACCTCCACTGAATATCTGATTCAGAGATCTAAGTCCTTGAGGATAAATCATCCTTCATCCTACTAGAAAATAATGAAAACTTCTCACCTTAAAGCTATCTGGAAGAAATAGAAACATCCAAGTCTCAAATGTTGTAGTAGTCTTTCATATTTTACAGTGAACATTTTCATTTAATTCCCTGACAAAACCAAGGAAAAATTGGTGGGATTGTCCCTAAGTATAGGCAAAGAAGAGAATAATCCTAGATTGTGCCAAAGACTAGGTATTTAAATCAGGACCCAGCTCTTCTGACCTGAGACCTCCCCATAGTTTTCTTGACCCTATTATGGAGGAAGGAAACAATCTTTTTTGTTGTTGTTGTTGTTTTGGTCTTGAACTTAGGTCCTAGGCATTTTCTCTGAGACTAGCACTCTACTACTTGAGCCCTAGCTCTACTTCGAGCCATGATCCTCAGATCTCAGCCTCCTGAGTACTGAGAATTACAGGCATGAACCACTGGCACCTGGGTGAAGGAAGCAATCTTGCTGTGCACCCAAGGGTAGTAAGGCTGTGGTCCTCCTGGGAGATAGGTCCTGGTATGAGCCTGTATTTCTATCATACCAAGGGAGTTCTGGCAAGGAATTGTTGAAAGAGCTGGACTCAGCGTTGGAGGCCAAGAATAACAAGATTCCTATCTACCCAAGGACTTGCTCAGTGGCCACATAGAGTAGCACTGGTATTTGTGGGCATAGATTCCAAGAAATAGCTGTTCAGGTAAGACTGAGGATGCTCAGGATGAATCAAGTTCAGTGCTGTGCTGCAGATGCTTGATTCATTTTTCCCACCAGACAACCCAACTTCTGCTAAAGACATGTTCCCTTTCAACAAGTGTAAGAATTTCACTTTATCACTTAAATGAAGCACATTCATTTTACCTCACTTTGGGACACCACTTGCTTTGGGGGAGGTGTATTTTTACATAAGGAAGGGCAGGAAAACACTTGCCAGATGACACAGTGAATTAAACATGTGACCCCAGCACAGGACTGACCAAGAATTCCTCTGTATCAACTGAGCTCCCTAACAGTGGTCACTTCTAGAATTGGAAGAACAAAGTTTGGACTGTTTACTGTGGATAGTGCAAGGGTCATTAAGCCCTGCTAGGATTCAGAATACAGTTGCCTGGGACAGAAGGATGCTTTCTATTTCTCCTAAGTGGCTTGTCTCGCTTTTGGGAAAAGTGTAATACCCTCAGTCACTTTGGCATAGTCCTGCTACCTTACCGAATGTGTGGTAGTATGGTCTAACCAAAATCTGTTAAAAACTAAGAAATAGAATCAAAGCTGGAAAGTTGTGTGGGAGCAGACATGAGACATTAGGGGTGAGGAGACTGGATTCGGAGGCAGAGCCTGCCCAGGCCACATAGGGCCACTGGCAGTCGCTGAAGGGGGGATCCAAAGGCACTGCTCAGGGCCAGAGGCTAGACCAGCAAATCTCAAAGCTGTTTGATTCCGTAGTCATTAAGTATGAAAACTGACCATTTTTACTTCATCCTGACTCATTCAAAATTTCCTTGGGCTAGGCGCCAGTGGCTCATGCCTGTAATCCTAGATGTTCAGGAGGCTAAAACATGAGGATTGTGATTCAGCCTGGGCAGAAACGTTTATGAGACTCTTACCTCATAATTAAGCACCCAAAAGCCAGAAGTGGAGCTGTGGTTCAAGTGGTAGAGTGCTAGATTTGAGCAACAAAGCTCAGGATCAGCACCCAGGCCCTGAGTTCAAGCCCAGGACTGACATACAAAACAAAAAATGTTCCATAGGCCAAAAATAAAAGATGGAATCCAAACAAACACATCTGGGAGAAGATGAAATGGGCACACTGACAATTTTGTTGTTCTCCCCCCCACCCCCAACTTTTTTTAAAAGTACTTCCTGATCTCTCCCTCAAAAAACTTCGGAATGTCTGCTAATGGCACCCTCTTCTCTACAACAGAACTGGATTTCGAAGCAGGACACAAGAGGTAGCCTTGCTAATGACCTTTCCTGATGTATGGTTTAGGGAAGGGACAAGAAAGTATGAGAGAGCAGCTACCGGGGGCCGGAGGGCAGCTGGGGTCCTGGGTGGCCTGCTGCCACTGTGAGCTTAGTGACCAATGAATCCAGGGAGAATGGGGGAGAGTCACATATCTGGATAGCACCTTCCTGGCCTAAACCATTCTGTCCAGTCACCAGGAAAGACAGTGTGGACAGAATTGAGGTCAGAGTGCTCAAGCCCTGTGTGGTTTAGAGGAGGCAGAGCCTGGGGAGAGATTGGGGACTATGAGGAAGAGAGTGGGACCAGCAGGCCTCTGGTAACAAGCCTGGCTTGGAGATAAAAGCCATAGATGGGCCTTGGGCGAGTTAGTACACAACTAGGGGAAATAGGGGACCGGAGTATAGCTCAGTGGCAGAACACTTGCCTACCATGCCTGAGGCCCTGGGTTCTGTCCCCAGCACTATATTTAAAAAACAACAACAACAACAACAAAAACATGTGCTGATATCTCACACTTGTAATCCTAGCTACTCAGAAGGCTGAGATCTAAGGATCATAGTTTGAAGCCAACACAGGTAGAAAAGTCTATGAGACTCTTATCTCCAATTAACCAACAAAAAACCAGATGCAGAAGTGTGACTCAAAAGGTAGAGCACCAGCCTTGAATGAAAAAGCCAAATGAAAGGTGAGGCCCTGAGTTTAAGTTTCAGAACTGACGTGTGCATGCACACACAGACACACACACACACACAGACACACAGACACACAGACACACACACACACACACACACACACACACACTCTAAGGTACTTCCTTTCGAGTAGGTGGGACTGGCCCTTTTAGAACATTGTGAGGTGCCAGGAGGCAGAAAGTGTGACTTGGCAGCAGTGGCTGTGAAGAATAACTTCAGGCTGAGGAATGAGGGGGTGGGCTAGGGAGGGAAGGCAGGCCCAGCAGACCTAGGAGGGGCCCACATGGGGATGGACTAAAGGGGGATTTGCCTCATTCCTCCCATCCCATCTGAGGCAGTCTCAGCAAAGCTTGATTCTCTCCTTGGAATTTCCCCCCAACAGTTTCCACCTGGTTGCGGGAGTGAGGGACAGCGGAGGCCTCCAAGCCTCCACAGTGCTGCAGGTGACCGTTGTGAACATGAATGATGAGATCCCCCGCTTTACCAGGTAGGCCTGAGGGCACGCAGAGCAACAGGACAGAAGGATGCCCTTTGCTCCAGCCTAAAGGAGACACAGAGGCATGTGATCTTCTGTGCTTTTCTCTCGGAACTTCATATTTCACCTTTGCTCCCCTGGTTACTGCACCCTTACTTTTGCACACACCGTGGGATTGTGGGTATGGTGAGGGAGGGGTTGTGGATTGGACACCATGCTTCTGGTGTATGGCTTGCCCTGGTATCTGTGTGAATACAGAGCAGGTTGATGCATAATGAAGTGATCCATGTTAATAATAGCAGAATTCTCAAGTGTACCCCTTCAGTCAAGACGCCATAAAAGCCACTCTCAGCAGTCAGTCATCTTCACACTGAACAGAGGTCTGTCTGCATGGAGCCTAAGGTTCCTGGACGCAGCAGGGTGCACCAGAGTTCCTTCCTGCCCTTGTGGATGGAGAAGGACATCTGGAGGGGAGGCGGTTAGATGAGCTCCACGGGCAGCAGAGGTGAGAAAGGTCAGTGCACGTGGGCTGTGGGAGTGGCCTGGCACTGTCCCAGGTCCAGAGGGAGAGGCCAGGCTGCTGTAGATGGGATTCTGCACCAGCTAAGGAGCCCTCCCTCCCCCAACACCTGGCTTTCTGATGACTGCTGTCCTACTCCCTGAGACAGAGGCAGGACCAGCCACAAGGAAAATGGCACAATTGCTTTTGTGGGATTGACACATTAATGGCTGTGAATAAATTCCACCTGGGATACTCAACTAGAAAAAAATCCCTTTGGATACAATTATTAGTTGTCAATTTAAAAAGAGAAAAAAATATTTTAAAAGCTATTAGGCTGAGCCAGGTGTGATGGTCCAGGCCTAGCATCCCAGCACAAGGGAAGCTGGGATAGGAGGTTCCGTAAGTTCCAGGCCAGCCTGAGCTACGTAGTGAGAACTCCATCTCAAAAACACAAAACTAACACTCTGAACCAATAACCAGAAAAGAGCCATAATGCCTGAAAGGAGATGATAGCCCACTTGTTAAACATTCTAAGGTTGGGAAGTAGTACGAAGGCTGCCTCATTCCCAGGCTTACCTACTGCCACTTTGCAAAGAAGCTTCTGGATGTTGACACTGTCTACTGCCCCTGGCTGGGTGTCCATGTGGAGGCAACAATGCAGATAAACTCTCACATAACACTTCCCTTGGGCTTCTACTGCTATGGTGTTCTGGAAGCACAGACCAGGCAGGGTTTAAGTAGTTGTGCAGACCAGCCCAGACTCCCATTCAGGTACTGGTCCCTGGGGCTCTGTGGGTTCACCTCTCCCACCACTCCCCTTCCTTCTCATGAAGATGCTGGTCATGGGGCTGGAGCCACTAAATTCTTTGCTGCCCAGTCTACCAAGTGGAGAAGCAGAAAAATAGGATTGCAAAGGGGAAAAAATAAGTACCTCCCCCACCCTCTGGGCAGAGGCAAGGCTTGGAAACCATCTGGCTTCAGCTTTGCCTATTTAAATGCAGTAAATTGACCTTAGCAGGGAAAACGAGATTTTGGCTGGTTTGGGAGTCACTCAGACAGAGGTCAGCCTGGGGGGGTCTCACATTTGGTTTGCAATAGGACTCTGTTAGGAGCTGTCACCATACTGAGACCTGGCTTGTGTGACTGTGTTCATGTCTGTCTGTGTGTCATGTCTGACTTTTTTTTTTTAATAATTTGACAGTGTTCCATAGAGGGTGGCCAGGGTGTGTCTGTAGGAGCCTTCACTCCGGAAAGGGGACTTAGGGCAGGATGCTCCATGACTGTCCAGGCTGTTCAGTTTTAGGCTTCTTCCTCAGCCGTCCATGGTTTCCAAGGCTCCACCAGGTCAGACTAGGTGCTACGTTACCAGTTTGCATAATTCCCTTGGAGTTCTCATCTTCCCCTCTCCCCCTCCCCCACAAGCCAGTGCTAGCACCAACTAGAAATCATTTAATTCAGGATCAGAAAATTAAATTCTTGAACCGATTCAAGCTGACTGGTTGTGACACAGCAATAGAAGATGCAGAAACAGCCGTTCTCTCTCTCCTACTGCTTAAGCCCTTGCACCCGCACACACATAGCCAGTGCCATTTCGGTGGTTGAAATGTCTCACTCTTTCATCTCTGGGTGGTGACAGATGTCTGAGTGCTTTGTGGACGCTTGTCGCTTACACTGGGACTCTGTCATTATTACAGGTGAGTGCTTTATGATAAACAGTACCTGACATGTTTACCCTTTGTGTGAGTCACTGCTTGCTATTTTCTCAGAGCACTTTACTTCAGGTGTTAGTGGCGAGGTCTTGCTCATTTTCTTTGCATGTGGTCAGAGCCCCCATTTTGCTGGTGCCTGGCAGTACTGGCATACTTTAGGCCCTTACCGAAGACTCACTCATAGGGATGCAGCCATCTTAGTCATCCAGCTTTCCTACCTTTGCCCGTGAGTGTGACCCTTGGCTTCCCATTTAGTCTTCGTCTGGGCTCTGATCAGGGGTGATGGGGAAAATAGGGAGCTAGAGGGAGCAGGAATGTGAATGAAATCAGCTTCATTACATGTACTTTGGGTTAATCTTAATTTCGTCAGACCTTTATGTCTGAACAAAGTGTGCGTGTGTGCATGTGCATGTGCTTTTGCCTACGGGGACTTGAACTCAGGGTCTGAGCTCTGACTCTTAGCTTTTTAACTCAAGGCTGGATCTCTACCACTTAAGTCATAGCTCCATTTCTGGCTTTTTCATGGTTAATTTGGACATAAGTGCCTTTTCTGCTTTGGAACCTCAATCCTCAGATCTCAGCCTCTTGGGTAGCTAGGATTATAGGTGTGAGCCATTGGCTCCCAGCTACTGAACACTATTTTATCTAGTCCCGGATCTTGGATCTCCAACTCAAATAGACCATAGCTTTTCTCTTTTGCCACACTTGTTATCAGGACAGCCAAAGGGAGCTTGGTTGAGCTGAGGAGCCATGTCATCACTGGTAGCTTGAGCGGTCCCCTTCCCAGGCACCTGGCTTCCTGGAGCACACAGTACAGACAGCAGGAGCCTTCATAGCGGGACTAAAGAGCACTCCGCTGACGTTTGGAACCAGAGACTGCTTTGTTGGAAGGCAGTCCAGTGCATTATAGATGTTTAGCAGCTCTCTGGCATCATTGGTGTCCCAAGAGCATGATAGCATGATATTCCCCAGGTTGTAACATCCAAAAATGTGCCCAGATAATCTCCCCTCCCCCACACACACACTGGGAAGTACTTCCTAGAAGGAAGAGCAGAAGGTGGAAGGAAAGGATTTGCTCCCAAAGTGTCCCCTGTCTGTGCTAGAGAGACCTAAGTCTGTAGTGGTCACCTATTGTACTGTCTTATAAGGGCGTGTAAATCCCTGGACATATGTGAACACACAGCTCCTCTTCTGGGGCCTGGGGTGAGGGGGCGGGCCTGGGGCCTGCATTTTAAGGGGCTTCCTGGTAACACTGGTGCTGGTTGGACTGGCAGTAGCCAGGAGGACCAGAACAAGGCTGTGTGTGGGTAACAGGGCATCTTTATGATTCCCTTGTTGCAAGTTAACAGACCACTCCCAGGGTCTGGTAAAGCAAAAGCATCCCACGTTAGAAATGGGCTCTCACAGAATGGACAAAGGCCTTAGCTGGCCCTACAAGGCCATAGAGACAGGTCTGCCTCTTTCCTCTGGCTCTAGTTAGAGCCTTTGCTTCCACTGCCTCCTATCTGTGATACTCTTTAACTCATCAGTGGTCAGTGTCACAGTCCTGCTGAGCAGGAAAGTGAAAACATAAAAGGGGCTGCTCGTGGGACAGCAAGACCCAGAGCACGGGAGTGACCCTTTGCGCTGAATAACATTACTTCTCCCTTGCTAGGCACCTGTGGCTCACAACTGTAATCTTAGCTACTTAGGAGACTGAGATCTGAGGATCATTATTCAAAGCCACCCTGAGCAGGGAAGTCTATAAGGCTCTTATCTCCAATTAACCATCAAAAAGCTGGAAGAAGAGCTGTGGCTCAAGTGGTTGAGTGCCAGGTTTGAGTGAAAAGGCAAAAGGACAGCACCCAGGCCCTAAGTTCAAGCCCCATTATCAGCATGAGAGAGAGAGAGAGAAAGAGAGAGAGAGAGAGAGAGAAAGAGAGAGAGGGAGAGAGAGAGAGAGACTGCTCCCCAGTGATAGAGTGCATCCAACAGGTGCCCTCAGGATCCAGGGAGCTGGCAAGGAACAGAGGTTCTTTTGTTTGTTTGTATTTTTTGTCTATTGTGGGGCTTGAACTCATGGTCTGGGCACTGTCCTTGAGCCATTTTGTGCTCCAGGCTAGTGCTCTACCAATGGAGCCACAGCTCCACTTCTGTTTTTTTGAGTGGTTAATTGGAGATAAGAGTCTCACGGGGACTTTTCTACCTGGGCTGGCTTTGAACTATGATCCTCAGATCTCAGCCCTGAGTAACTATGTTAACAGGTATAAGTCCACCAGCGCCCAGCTTGGCATGGGACAGAGCGAGAGCCCAGATGTAGCCTTCTCTGTATGCTCATGACTCTAGCTGGAGGCTCTCTAGCTTCTGGCTAGGAGGGGTGAGATAGAGTTAGAGGAACAATCCAAGCCCTAACACGAATGCAGCCATTTGGATCCCTTAAAGAAACATCAGGTGGGAACTGCAAGCTTAGGCTACTAGGAAGTAGGAGATAACTATTTGCTGACAAGGAAAAGAGTTTGCTCAGCTAAGGGACTTCCTGCAAAACAAGATTTTAGAAACAAATCCCTCTTGCTACCTTCACACTTACTGGATTCATCATAGGTGTAGCTCCCACCTCCCAGCCTGTCTGCAGGGTCTTCTCCCGAGGCATGGGAGGTGTGAGGAAGGTGGGCCAGCGGGTGATTGGGGGTGATGTGGTTGGCCCTGGCCGTGGGAGCACAGTGCTCTCACCTCGTCTGCTGCAGGGGAAGGGACTGCACAGATCTAGCAATTCATGCCTAATCGTCTATCCTCAGGCAAAAATAAAGTAAGTTAAAAAAAAAGACGAGGAAGCAATGAAAAGTGAGCAAAACTGCTAGAACAGAGAACGGTCCTGGCTTCTGCTAGATGTGTGGGGTGGGGGCCAGGCACGGGGAAGGAAGCCTGCAGCACTGGACATTAAATCCAGGTGGAGTTCTAAAAAAGAATCCAGGCAACTTCTTGTGCCAAAATTGGGAGAAGGAGAAAAGATAGCTGATATGCCAACTATCTTATTTTGAGCAACGCTATTGCCAAGGCCCATCTGAAATGGTGCCAGGCAGGCGTACATAGAGGGAGAGACTGGTGCCCTGTGATAACTGCCTGGCACTTCGTTTGTGTCCGCAAGGAGGTGGTCTTTGGAAACACAAAAGCCAGGCATCCCTCCTCTTGGTGGCCCTGTGCTCCTCCAGGAATGTGAATGCAACTTCAACAGCTCAGTGCTATATTTAACACTCACCAAAATATCCACTGCCCAGATTGCACTCTCCCCTGCCCCTGCAAATTAGCTGTGTCTACTGTGTTTGTGTTCCAGCACAAGGAGAGTTTACTCCATTCTGGAGGAGCTGAGCCCAGGAACCATCGTGGCCAATATCACAGCAGAGGATCCTGATGATGCAGGCTTTCCCGGCCGCCTCCTCTACAGCATCACTACCACCTGCAACTACTTTGTGATAAACCAGTGTGAGTCACACACAGCCATCCTTAAGTGCACCCTCCAATCCAGCCAATTGGGTTGTTTGGATCCATCTCTGGCTGGGAGCCCATCTTTCTGTCTAGGCTCATCCTTGGTTACCAGGAAAATAGATGCATAAAGGCTGCTAATATGGGGATGTAGAAGGTGAACAAGAGCCATGGTGGATGGCTGGGTCAGCCTTCACCTTTGTAGAGGGGAAGAAGTTTCTGTTCTCATTCCCATCAGGATTAGGGTAGAGACCTTTAAAATCTATTGATACCTATAAAAGGTAGATCAAGCCAGGTACAGTGGCTGATGCCTATAATCCTAGCTACAGGAGGCAGAGAACAAGAGGACAGTGGTTCAAGGCCAGCTTGGGTCGGAAGTCCACAAAATCTCATCTCAACTAATAAAAGCCAGGCATGGTAGGTAGTTCATGTCTGTCATCCCACTTATATAAGAAATATAAATGGGAAGATCATAGTCCAGGCTAGCCCTGAGCAAAAACTTGAGACTTCATATAAACTAACACAGGCTTGGAAGGTGGCTCAGTGGTAGAGCGCTTGCCTCGTATGCATGTGGCTGTGGGTTCGATTCCTTAGCACCACATAAGCGGAAAAAGCCAGAAGTGGCAGTATGGCTCAAGTGATAGAGTATTAGCCTTGAGCTGAAGAGCTGAGAGACAGAGCCTAGGCCTAGAGTTCAGGCCCCATGACTGGACAAAAACAACAACAACAAAAAAACCCATAAAAACTAACACAAAAAAGACAAGGGCATAGCTGAATTGGTAGAGCACTTGCTTAGCAAGCTTCAAGGCTGTGAGTTCAAATTCTAGCACCACCTGAAATAAAACAAAAATAGATTAACAAAAAAAAATACAGATCTATGAATTTTATGTGACATGGAGACTTCAGAAATGAATATTCAAGATACAATGAAGATTGGGCATGATGATTCATACCTGTAATCCCAGCTACACAGATGGCAGAGGTAGGAAGATTGTGGTCCTAGGCTGGACCAAGGCAAAAGTGATACTAAAGCAAAAAGAGCTAGGGGAGTATTCAATAAGTAAAGCACTTGCTAACAGCCCTCAATTCAAAACCCAGCATGGGGGGGCGGGAATATATTTTATGCTACATTTGTTGAAGAAAGGAATAGTGAATTGTGGAGCAAAAAAGTGTAATCTAGCTGTATTTAGCTTCCAGGATGAGGATGCAGCTTTCCTCTGGGCATAGGTAGGGTCTTCCTTTCTTTCTTTCTTTCTTTCTTTCTTTCTTTCTTTCTTTCTTTCTTTCTTTCTTTCTTTCTTTCTTTCTTTCTTCTTTCTTTCTTTCGTTTCCTTTCTTTTCTTTTTTTTTTGTCAGTCGTGGGGCTTGTACTCTGGGCCTGGGTGCTGTCCCTGAGCTCTTGGTTCTTCAGCTCAAGGTGAGTGCTCTACCACTTGAGCCACAGTGCCACTTCTGGTTTTCTGGTGGTTAATTGGAGATGAGAGTCTCATGGACTTTCCTACCTGGGCTGGCTTTGAACCGCGGTCTTCAGATCTCAGTCTCTTGAGTAGCCAGGATTACATATGTTAGCCACCAGTGCCTGGCATGAGTGTTTCTATTTTAAGACACCTCTTTGGAAGACAGGATCTGTAGCATTGCTGAAACTGAATGAAAATAAATACATAGTGGCAAAATTTCTAGTGGTCACATATGAAAAAGAAAACAGTGAAATTACAGTTATGATACAAAATATCATTTCAACATAGAATCCATCTTTTAAAGATATTAAGATGGTTCACATTATTTTCTTTGGTGCTAAGTCTTGGCAGTTTCTTGTGTATTTTATGCTTAACGCACATCTCTATTCAGACTGGCCCCGTTTCGAGTGTTAAACAGTAGTGTATGGGGTTTTCCATCCCAGGCACTGTGCCAAGTGATCTGTAAGTATCTCAAGTACTCAACACAGCCCAACCAACGAACACAACCCACAGTCCACAGAAGTGGAAACCGAAGCTTGGGGATAAATGCAAACAGGCTAAGTGACCTGTCCAAGGTCACGGGTTTGGAAGCACAGAATCTGTGCTAAGCCGGCTGACTTCCAAGCCCGTGCTCTTAGCCTGGGCCACACTGGACCACATCCATACATCCATATCACCTTGCCCTGAAAGACTTTGCTTTTCATGATTCTGTGCAGGCCAGCCTTGAACAATCCCAGAGAAACACTGTGCAGCTCCATAGGCTTTAGGGCAAAGCATGCTGAATGGGGAGAGAGACCAGTGCTCAGCCTCTGAAAACGTCCCAGTGCCTTGACCTTGAGGGCTTGGCTCAGCACATGGAAGGAATGGACAATTGTTGGCTGAGAATTTGTTCACTTGAATATTGTAAAGTTGAACTTGTAATGAGTGTATTTTGGACTTCCCTTGTTAGCATTTTAGTTATTTGGCTTATTTCTGGTTCTAAGCAACAGGAAAAAGGGCAAACAAAACAAACAAAGGAGTCAATAGATCAGGACATAGTAACAGCAATAGAGACAAACTAAACTAAAAAAGAAAGAGTCATGACAGGCCCAGGTGGCTCATGCCTGTAATCCTAGCTACTTAGGAGGCTGAGGATTGTGAGGATTGAGGATCTGAGGATTGTGGTACAAAGACAGCCAGGGAAGGAAAGTTTGTGAGACTTTTATCTCCAATTAAACACCAGAAAACCAAGTAGTGGAGCCGTAGCTCAAGGTGGTAGAGTGCTAGCCTTGAGTGAAAAAGCTCAGGAACAGCATCCGGGTCCTGAGTTCAAGCCCCATGACTGACAAAAGAAGCAAGCAAGCAAGCAAGAAAAAAGAGTCAGCTGGTCAGGAAGTGTGTCAGCTGCTCTAGGGACACAGAGGCCTTGCACCTGCAGCTCTGCTCTTAACACGCCTGATTCTCCACGCATGTTTCTCAGTTACAAATTCTCCAGTGCATCAAGCTGGAATCAGCTATCAACTGTGGGCAAGGGCTGTGGCCAGCGGCCCAACCCTGAAGACTAGGATGAAAAAACTCTAGGGCTGGGAAGGTGGCTCAGTGGTAGAGCGCTTGCCTTGCATGCCTGAGGCCCTGGGTTCGATTCCTCAGCACCACATAGCAAAAAGAAAAAAGCCGGAAGTGGCGCTGTGGCTCAAGTGGTAGAGTGCTAGCCTTGAGCTGAAGAGCTGAGGGACAGCGCCCAAGCCCAGAGTTCAGGCCCCACAACCGGACCCCTCTCCCCGACCCAAAGAAAAAGAAAAAGAAAGAAAACTCTAGAAGGATCATACCAAATACTCCAATAAATGTCAAATATAGGAGGAACTCAATATGAATTCTCTAAAAGGATACATTTACATAGAGATACATTTGCATACACCAGTTCTAGTATTAGGATGGTCTTCCCAGTTTTCTCCAAGTTTCTTTATACCTTTTGACTCTTTGTTTTCAGAAGATCACATTCTCACCTTTGCCCTTTAGTGACTGGTTCGATCCAAGTGGCTCAGCGGATAGACCGAGATGCAGGTGAATTAAGACAGAATCCGGCCATTTCTTTGGAGGTTCTGGTAAGGGACAGACCTTCCGGGGGCCAGGAGAACCGTATCCAGATAACCTTCACTGTGGAAGACATCAATGACAACCCTGTTGCATGCACAAAGTTCATCTTCAGGTAATCACATTTGGCAACAGATGCTGGATCCCACAGTTCTTGGCTGGTCCTTGATCCTTTGGCTTGGGTGGTACATTCTCAGGAAGAACTGAAGAAATATGGGAATTGACAAAATGGCTTCACTGAGCTCAGGAGATGGGCACTGTCCAATTTTTGTCATGGATTTTTCTGTGGATCATTGTTTGTTCCTGATCCAGGCCCTCTTTCTTTTTTTTCCGCTCTTCTTTTCCTTCTCTACTGTCTCAGTCAGTTCAGAGTTATTTTGCTTGGTTGGTGGAAAGTACCACAGAGACTTGTTAGGCCTATCTCAGAGCTGTGCCTTGTCTTTATTTATTGCCACCAGCACCAAGCTAGTACTGTTTGTTAGCAGTTCTAATAGATACTTGAGACTTAGAATTAGTAACTGAAAACTCCCAAAGAAATGCATCATAGTAATAGGAATAAAACACATGAAGCACCTAACGTAAAATGAAACAAATCATCTAATTCACTGTGTACAACTAACTTAATTGCATCTAAGCAAAAGGGGGAAATGTAGATACAGGTGGTTGCTGAGTTATTTTGAATATTGTGACTTGTTCTTTGTCTCATATCTATTCATGGTTACTTAAAAATAGAAGCCTTTGTGATTCTGGGTTAATATGGCTTTTTGTGGCTGGGTTAATATAGCTATTTGGTCAAAAAAGGGGGGGGCACAGGGTTAGGTATTTCCTGGTTTCCAAATCAGCCAGTCACTGTTTTTCTGGAGTTTAAGGCAATTGTTCTGTGATAGTGGGGGTGGGCTAGGGAGTGGGTGCCTTAGCAGTGTGACCTTTGCAAAGAGATTATCCCGATCTGAAGACTAGATCTCATCTCCATTGGGTGAGTCTTCTGAGTTTACCCTTGACTGGTTTTGGACACAGACTCAATACATAGTATGGCCACATAAAAGACAAAGGCCTTGCTGGGCACCAGTGACTCCTGCCTATAATTTTAGCAACTCAGGAGGCTGAGATCTGAGGATTGCAGTTCAAAGCCAACCCAGGCAGGAAAGCCTATGAAACTCTTATCTCTGATTAGCTACCAAAAAAGCTGTAAGTAGAGCTGTGGTTCAAGTGGTAGAGTACTAACCTTGGGCATAAAAGCTCAGGGACAGTACCAGGCACTGATTTCAAGCCCCAGGGCCACTACTGGGAAAAATAAAATAAAAGGATAAAGGCCTTTAGGTAAAGACTGTCTGGGTAAGCAATAACAAAATAAGTTCTTACTGTGCTTGTGAATATTTCCTTATTTTCTCAATGGATATGGCCATCATGGTGTAGGAAATAGACATGGCTTTAGTCTGACGTCAGGACATTTGTATTTGCTTTGGGACACATTCCAGATCCACCCTTCAGATCCATTCTTTGCTCTGTCCTGTGCTGAGGAAGCTGACTGGTACAGGTACCAAATGGCTCCCTTGGCCTCCAGTGTTAGTTAGCCAGTGGGAGCCTAATAAGAGGGAAGAGTACGTCTGGGTATTTACCCCATGCCTCCTTCGGTGTCAGCTGCATGCACACTTCCACCTGCTGAACAGCTCAGTTCTTACAAGGCAGCTGTCTGCACGCAGCACTCTGTTCCTGCTGCCATTATCAGCAACTGCTTCCCCCACTGGCCCCTTTGGTTTAGATGTAGTAAGGCTGCTCCGGTCTCATTAGCCCTGAGGTACTGTACCATCCCTTTATATTTCCATATCCCCCGTGTGTACCTTTGTCATAACTCGTTTACTAAACATCCCAGAATTATCCTAATTTGCCACCTGTTCCAGCTGAGACCCTGATACACTCAGTCACAGGCCAGCACATGTGATAGGTTCCTATCCCAACTTAAGCATTCCCATACCTCAGGGTCTCTTAGATGAGTAGGGAGGGCTGGCCCTGGGAGCTAGGACTCTGATTGCCACACTATTACATGCATAAACTGAGCCTGCCTCCTGTAAAGAGAAATCTAGACCCTGGAGATGGACTAGAAATGATATGTAGAGTCACACTTACCCTTTATCTGAAAAATCTACAGCACTCTTGGGTGGTCCCAGCCACCCTGGGGAATTCCTCTTTTTGTTCTACCCTTCTGAGCTATCTTGCCCTTCCTTGCTGCCCTGTCCTGAGAGGTCGAGGCTAGGAGTAAGAAGTAGGAGTCTTGAGTTTCGCTTCTTGGAGAGGAACTGTACTGTCTTGCCTCTCTGCCTTTGGAGCATCTCTGCTCATGGCATATATAGTCTGGCTTCCTGAGGTGCTGTGAGGATAGCTTTCAGACTTGTGTTCCGTATTAGCTGGTGAAATCACATTTCGAATGTCCTGGAGTACCCAGGCAAGCCCATACCAAACCTGCTCTTGATCTCTCCAAATCAGCCCTAAAAGGCCCATCTAAGTCAGTAAGTGAACTAAATTGTGTTTATTACTGAAGCAAATTCTAAACAATGCTTAAGTCTCTCCCTCTGGGCTTTTCCAGTAAGGGCTACTCTTAGTCAGCCATGCTGTGAAAGCCAAGATGCGGGGCAGGGCACGGCCAGAGCTGCTGCCTCCCTGGGAGGCCCCGGAGCAGAGGTCCTCCCCGCAGGAGCCCAGCCTGCGCGCCTCGGCTCCCGTGCACACCTGCCGGGCAGAGCTGAGCAGCGCTCGGCCCTGCCAAACCACCGTCCTCCGGACTCCCTTCTCCAGCCCAACCACGCAGAACCAAACCAAACCAAACAAACAAGTCCAGAAATGGCGCCGCCACCGTCTCCGACACCTGTCCCTGAATACTGATTTCTGAAGTTTGTGCGATCAGGCAAGAAGCAGAGATGGGCTGGGAGCCAGCAGCTGGGGTGGTTTGGGAGGCCGCGCGCGGCTGCGCGCCGAGGGGCGGAGGGCGGCCCGGGAGGGGGCGCGCGCCCCCTGCTGTCCATCCAGGGCTGCTGCAAGGCTCCCCAACCCTTGGAAACGAAGGCCCCTCGCAGCTTTCCTTCCTCGGTTGGTGATGAATGAGCCCAGCGCCCCAGTGGAGGCATCAGAGGCGCCCAGACAGCCCCGGCTCGGGTTGTAAATTGTCCGGCGCTTGTCTGAAAGCGCTTCGCAAGCTCTTTGTGAGCGAGGGGCGGAGAAGGGATTCAGAATGCAGCTGGGCACAGTCACCTCTGCTTAGGGAGGAGTCCGTGGTCAGATGGATGGGGGCCAGGGCAGCTCCCCTTGGAGTCAGGGATTGATGGATGAATGGGAGTGGCTTTCCGAGTCACAGTTAGAAGGAAAAATAGCAAGTGTGGGGGAAGAAGGATAGAACGTTCCCCGGCTGGAAATATAGCTCAGACCCGCGTGTGCAGAGTTGTTTTCAAGATCCAAATCCCCAAATGCCCTTGACATGGATATTCATTGATGAAATTTAAAACTCATAGTGAATCTGACAGACAGTAAGAAATTCATATCTGGAGGGAGTAACTTTTTTGGACAGGAACTATTCTTCCCCTGTAAATGAGAGGAAGGCTGCCTGCGTCTTGGAGAGGAAGGGATTAGAGCATGCTTTTCAAGTGCTCGGTATGATCTGCATGCAGCTGGTGTTTAATAAGTGTTATCTATTCTAAGTACTTACTACGTGTGGGATCAAAGCAGGAAGGAGACCGCTCAGGCTGCCCGCCTGCTGAAACACAGATGTTCTCTTTGCTAGGAGGCAAGGTGGAGATTCGGGTAACCCTGCTTTCTTCCCAGCTAACAGACCCACTCTCCTCAGCTGCAAGACCATTCTTGCTGTTAGACCTTACAGTTGCTGAGCCCTGAACTTATCTCAGCTGACTTTAGGAGAGGCCATGGAATAGGGACATCATTTGGTTGTAGGATTAAGGAATTTAACATGGATTCTTTTAATATGAGTGTTCTGAAAAGCAGATGCCAAGACAAGATTAAATAGGTCAGGCTTTTTATTTGGGAAAAATACCTGTGGTAGCAAACAGGAAAGAGTTGGATGAGGCTGAGATTGCGACGGGGTGTGTGATCAGACTAGGGTGAAAGTCTGGCCTGAGGGAAGAAAGAAAGTGGTTTGAAATGTTCGAAATGGCCATGCAGCCTAAAATCCATTCACCTGAAGGACTGGAGGCATGGCTTAAGTGGTAGAGTACTTGCCCAACAAGTGTAAGGCTGAGTTCAAACCCCAGTACCACTAAAAAACAAACAACAACAAAATAAAGACCACCAAAGAGACCTAGAGTCAGAATGAGAGGTCATAAGATAAAATGAGCTTGCCATAGTATCGCTGCCATACCCAGTCATCAGCACACAGCTTCGCTTCAAACCTGGTGATGGATTTCAGAGCGCAGCAGCCACAGCCTGCTTCCAGCTATAATCCTGAATTGAAAGTCTTCAACATTCTCATGGCAGGCACAATATATTTTTGTAAGCAATTCTGCTAAAGCAAAATATGACTGAAGTAGAGAACAAAAACAACAAAAACCAGCTACAAATTCCTCCAAAGGTGTACTATTCCCTCGCGATAGGACTTTGCTAGTCCTCAATCAAGACACTACTGGAACTTGGGCTTGATGGTGTGAATACTTCGGCTGCTGGCACATTCACAAATGCGGGACAAGGGGGGATTGCAAGTGGTGTGTGTATTGAGACTTGATTTCTCTCTCGACTTTGGGACCTTGCTACTTTGGAACTCCCTGTGAAGAGCCTAGACCAGCCACTCGGAGGATGAAACACAGCAACCATCTTCCCCCCAACCAACCATATGAGGCCCCCTAGTGTCTGGCTGCCAGTAATCATGGAGCCCAGTCAAGTCTAACCAGAATCAGAAGGACTTCAGATAGTCCTAAGATGAGAAATAAATGCTTGTTCTTTAGACTGCTCAGTGATGTAGCAAAAGTTAACTGTCATAACCTATGCCCATTTTATAGATGGAAAAACTGAAACCCAGAGGCATGATTAAGGCCCTTGCTGAGTTGAAGCCTACAGGGGTTAGTCTTCCTCAGTCCCTTATCCTGAGCTGGACTTAACCAGATGCTCTGAGTTTGGGGGTAGCTTTATTCATTCCTCTTATTTGCTAGACCTTACATCAATTTCAGGAACCTAAAATTCATCCAATAATAAACCTCGTTTCAATGAATGATAGTAGCTTATTGTTAGGCCCTTCTATGAATTGAAACCAGTAGAACTCAAGTCAAGGAATTCTTCAGAGCTTCGGAGATGCAGAATCTACCTCTCAATGCAAGGCAAAGGGATTTTTTTCTCTAACCAGCCTACGAACTCCTACAGGCATGAGGTGGAATTGATATTTCTCTTATATTCATTTATTGAACAAATATATATAGAGTATTTAAAGGACAAAGCAAAGATCTCTGCCCTAGTGGAGTTTATATTCTAGGGGATACATAGACAATAGACAGGAGATATAAGTAAAATATATAGCATGTTGGATAATGACAAATGCTAAGAATTCCAAATAAAGGGCAGAATGGGAGAGGAAGTGAAGGACAGGAGTCACTGATATTTTAGATAGGGTAGCCTCACTGAAACGAGAGCATTGGGTTAGAAGCTAAAGAATGTGAAATAAGAATTTGAAGTTAGGCTGGGAAGGTGGCTCAGTGGTAGAGTGCTTGCCTCACATGCATGAGGCCCTGGGTTCGATTCCTCAGCACCACATAAGCAGAAAAAGCTGGAAGTGGTGCTGTGACTCAGGTGGTAGAGTGATAGCCTTGAGCTGAAGAGCTGAGGGGACAGCACCCAGGCCCAGAGTTCAGGTTCCACGACCAACAAAAACAAAAAACAAAAACAAAAAAACTTGAAATTAGTCAAGTTCCCAACACTACAACAAATACCCGAGACAATCACTCCATGCTTGTTTGGCCCCATTGTTTGGGCCTGCGGTGAGGCAGTGCATCATGATGGGAACATGGAGTGGAGACAAAGCATTCCCCTCATGGCCAGGAAGCAAAAGAGAGCAAGAAAAAAGTGGAGTTTCCACAATCCCTTGCAAAGTGTGTATACAATGGCCTAACTTTTTCCCATTAGGCCACACCTCCTAAAGATTCCACCACCTCCCAAAAGCTCCACCCTAGACACCAAGCCTTTTGGGGACTAAACTATAACAGGGAAACTTTATTTGTGAAAGAAGCATTCCATAGCAAATGCATTGACCCAGGGCCAGAGCCTGGTAGCATGTGGAAGAAGAACCAAGAGGCCCTGGTGGCAGGAGGAGTGTGAACAAGGAGAAGCAGGAAGGAGGTGAGGTCAAAGAGATAACGGACAGCACTTCATGACAGGCCTCGAGGTCAGTTAGTCCTTGAAGTGCAACCAGGAACCACTGGGGCTTAGGAGCAAACACATGATTTGATCATGTTTGATAATATTTTATCAAGATCCCTGGGTATAAAAAAAAAATGTCTGAAAGGAGGTAAGAGCAGAATCAGGGAGACCAGTAGGAAGGCCTCCTGCAATAACCTAGCGCTTGCGTTGAATTGAAAATGAAGTAGAAATGTCTAGTGGAGCGCCCAGGTTAGAAGTAACACTCTGTCACCACTTGGGGGAAAATATTGAGCTGTATCTTTTCCCCAGCATTATGGTGACGGAAAGAGCAGCCAACGGGACGTTGCTTCTGGACCTGAACAAGTTCTGCTTTGATGACGACAGCGAAGCACCAAACAACAAATTCAACGTCACCACGCCATCTGGAGTGGGGAGCAGCCGCAGATGTTTACAGGAGCCAGCTGGCTCTGGGAAAATAGTGGTCAGTTTATGGTCATGGCCTCATTAAAGGGCAGCGGGGGAGCTGGTCCAGCATGCACAGTGCTTTGCCTCCCCACAGAGAGGCATTTCCAAGGTAGCCCCCTCTCAGAGCCACTGTAACTGACAAGCTTAATAGTGGATCCGTGTCCTCGCCTGCTCTTTATTTTTCCCATGTCCCCAAATCACTCATTACACATCACTGTGCTGGGGGCACTAAGGACTGGATTCTTCCTTGCATAGCTCGCAGTGGCGTGCGGCTTAGTGGGCCTTTATAGATGCATTAGTGCCCTTGGAGCACAGGCTCTTTTGTTTATTTGCGAGCACATTCCTCAAATGAGGTATGAGGGAGAAAAAGCAGGGCCTGGGCTGCGAATGCGTCTTGATAGATTCTGCATTGTAGAACCAACCAGAGACTCCAAGGGGAATGAGACAATAAGGTATAAAAAATGACACAAGTATACCCAGGAACAATGCAGAGTTGGATGGATGGGCATGGAAGGCCGGGCTTGGCAACCCCCAAGAGACCCTTACAGGAAAGGCAAGGATCTTGAGGGTATTTTCAGGAGAAATAAGCCTTAGAGAAGAGAGAGGGCAAACAGCTCACCAGCCTTCTTCCCACTCCACCCCTCCTTCTCCACTTTTTTTCTTTTGTCAGTCATGAGGCTTGAACTCTGGGCCTGGGCGCTGTCCCTTAGCTCTTCAGCTCAAGGCCAATGTTCTACCACTTGAGCCATAGCGCCACTTCCGGTTTTCTAATGGTTTATTAGAGATAAGAGTTTCATGGACTTTCCGTGCCCGGGCTGGCTTTGAACCTTGATCCTTAGATCTCAGCATCCTGAGTAGCTAGGATTACAGGCATGAGCCACCGGCGTCTGGCCTTCTCTTTTTATACTAAGCCTTCCTTCAATTCCCAAGAGACTCTTACCAACTTTATCTATAGTGTCATAAAAAAAATCCATTTCTAGTTGGATGCTGGTGTCTCACACTTATAATCCTAGCTACCCAGGAAGCTGAGGTCTGAGGAACAAGGTTCAAACCCATCCCAGGCAGATAAATCTGAGACTCTTATCTCCAATTAACCAGCAAAACACTAGAAGTAGAAATGCTCAAGCGGTAGAATACCAGCCTAAGCTAAGCATGAACACAAGGCGCTTTGTTCAAGCGCCAGTACTGGCACAAAATAATAATAATAATAATAATAATAATATCCTTCCTGTCTCTTTTCTGCACATGTATTTTGTGTATGTATACATGTATGCATGAGTATGCTAAGTAATGGAAAATACTCCTAATCAAATGGTTCAATATTGTCTTCCTTCAATACATCTGAGATGGTGGGTCTTTGCTTGTTGGGTAATAGTGCTAGATGAGCATCTTTGTACAAAGAGCCTCTCTTCTGGTAAGTTCTACTGAGTAAGTTGGTGCACAGCTCTTTCAATGCATTGGCAAGTGCTTTCCAAAAGGATTGTGGCAATTTGCATGTGCACTCATGCTGTGTGAAAATGTCTTTGTCAGTTTGCCTCATATAAGTTAGTATCTCTGTTTTAACCTAGTTGATTGGTGATCTAGATTATGAAAACCCAAGTAACCTAGCAGCCGGCAATAAGTTCATGGTGATGATCCAGGTGCAGGATACGGCCCCTCCTTACTACAAAAGCAAGTATCATTTTAACTTATTTCATGTGCATCTCCTGAGCATTAAGGGTTAAATTGTGTGTGCAGTTGATGGTATTGTGCTTGATCTCCATCCCACTAACTGGGCTCTAATGCTGGATCCCCTCTTTCTCTTTTTTTTGGGGGGGAGGGGGAGGAGAGCATGCCAGTACTGGGGCTTGAGTTCAAGGGCATGAACTCTTGCTTTGACTTTTTCTCTCAAGGTTGGTGCTCTACCACTTAAGTCATACCTCTACTTTCTGCTTTTTTTTGCTAGTTAATTAGTGATGCGACTCATAGATTTGTCTGTGTGAGCTGCTTCAAACACAACCCTGAGATCTCAGCCTCCTGAGTAGTTAGGATTACAGGGGTGGCCCAGACACCCCCTTGAAAGACCCAGGGTCTTTTAAGAGTCTTTCTGCCTCCAGTCTTATTCTTTCCAGTGCAGCTTCTCCATTTCTCTCAGTGGCTTTGCAGGGAATGCAGATGCCATTATATCATTTCCTTAAGTGTGTCCTGAAGCTTTCAAGTTCAAGTTCAAACTCCCACTTAGCATGCAAGGACTTTTATTATCTGCTGTTTAACTCTAGCTGCAGTTCCTGTCCCTTCCCTACAAGCTCCCCTGCCCCACTTTTTTCCAACTAGACAAATAGTTGGAAAGATTTCTGAGTGAATCATGCAGTTTTATGCTGTGATATTTTTATGCATGCCTACGATTGCCCTCCTACCCCCAATTCCACATTACCCCAGTTGCCTCTGACTTTGCAAGGCTCAGCTCCCAGGTCTTCCTCCAGGTTCCCTAGACACCTTGATGGCAGGACCCACTAGATCTGATCCATCTGTATCCCAAAGCCTGCACTTGGAAGATGCTTTTTAAAAATGTTGAATGAACAAATGGATGAGTATGGATCACAATTTAAATTTGTTTCCATTTCCATTTTTAGATACTATCTACATTTCTGTCCTAACACGCCCAGAAAACGAATTTCCTCTCCTCTTTGCTAGCCCATCCTATGTATTTAATGTGTCAGAAACAAGACCAGGTAAGTAACAGCCAAAACACAGACCACAGCTCTTTCTGGGCTCACACCAAATGCATGTCCTGCAGAGGTGAAAGCTCAGGTCAGAGGCCTCCAGTGTGTTTTACACAGCAGTTCACAGTGGATTAGCATTTATTGCACCTTTAAAAAAAAGTTGTCCTTGCTGCCATGGAACTCTTCAGGTAAAACGTGGATTTTGAAAACCAGTGATTAAATCGTGTTCCTTTTGACCCCTGATTGCTTCTTTGTCTATTTGCCTGATTCCAGAACCCTGTCCTTTTGTATCCTAAGTTTTCTCCTGGTCTCCAGCTCATTCAGAGAATTGAAATGTCAAAAATTAGTAAAGGTTTCCCATTTCTGTATTTCCTTGATCTAAAAACAAAATAAGCATATTTTTCTGTCTCTTCTCCTTGGATTCACTAGAAACTCTCCTCTCTCTTTCTCTCTTTCTCTCTCTCTGTCTCTCTCTGTCTCTCTCATTCTCTCTCTCTTTATAAACTTTGATTTTGGTAGACACTTCCCCCCCCTAAGAAAACATTCACCACTTCCAGCTTCTGTTTCTCCCCATGTCTCCTGTTTGAATGCAATGCTGTCAGCTCTCCTGTGTGATCTACTATATAAACATTCAAGTACAACAGACTTCCCCACAGGCTGGTACTTTGAGATATAGATACTTCTTCCACAGTTAAAAAAAAACAGTACACTCCCCCTACAATTCCATTTTATTCTCTCTTTATGATGCTCTTTATTTCTTGACATTAACTTTTAAAACAAAATACAAAAAGAGAGTCCAGAGGAGATTCCTTTTAATTCTATACACCTTACCTAGTGAATAACACTTTCAACAGGAGTAGAATGTTATGTAAATCCATAGATCTCACTACAATTATTTTTGACTACCTGTTCTGGGTCACACAGTTGGTGCTGGGCTATAGAATTCAGTGAGAAAATATCTGCCCAGGAGGAGAAAAATTTATAAGAAAGAACATCTATAAAACAAACAAGCCAGATCTCTAGTAGCCTCACCAACAAGTATTTGTAAAAATAAGCCAAATAGAACAGTATTTTAAAAGTTACACTCTGTAGATTTATTCTTCTAAAAAATGTTTCTTCATCTTGTTTATAAGAGCCATTCATGCTCATTCCAGAAGATTGGAGGAATACAAGAGAGTTATATGTAGGACTGTGCTAAGAGATGGATGTGTGTGCATGAGTATTCCTTGCACTATTGTTTGCCATGGCAACATGATTGGAGGTTCTGTAAAGGCCAAGAATTGTCTTTCACACCTTGTGGCCCTGCTTGGGCCATAGAGCCAGTTACAAGTAGGCACTCATTAGAATTATTTAAATCTAAGAGAAATTAAACATAGAAGACAAAGAGTTTGAAGAGCCACTCTTTCTGCCCATGGTGGTAAGGACACTTGTTAACAGATCACTTCCTCCCACTCCATCCAATCGGAACTAATCATGGGTACTTTATTCTTCCAGCTAGAACGAGGATTGGCCAGGTTCAGGCAGCTGACGAAGACTACCCCCAGGGGAGCATCTCATACGCCATCTCCACCGGAGGAGCCAGCTCCCAGCACCCGAATATATTTTGGATAAATCCCAGGACAGGAGAACTCCAGCTAGTCACCAAAGCAGACTATGAGACAACCTCCAGCTACATTCTTGGAATCCAGGCCACCAATGGAGAGAGCACAAGCTCAGTTACTGTGAGTGGGACACCTGGATTGGCTTGGGTCTCTGACATACTCAGCCACATCAGTTGAGGAATCCTCATGGGCAGGGGTCTTACAGATGTGAAGAGAAATGAGTTGTGATGCCCAGGACAGAAAGATTCTCATGTGTGTCTGAAGCCTGAGTGTGTGGGTCACTGGGAGAAGTATTGGAATTGCTGGCCAAATACTGGGTTATTGGCTGAACCCACAAACCCATGTAGTGGGACAAGGCTCTTCCCATGGTCCTTTCAATCTTGTTTGCCTTCACATTGGACAGGCAGTGAGAGGCAAATTGCCAGGAGATGGATATGACTCTATGGTTCTGTATCGCCTCCCAAAGAGCAGTTTTGCCATGCCGCCACCCCATATCCCTACACACCAGATGGAACAGTTCTTGCCATGATGCTGTTAGTCTGCTTTAAGTCAGCATAATGAAATACCCAACATAGGCTAATTATGAAGTTTAAAAGGCCTAAGTTTTGCTCATGTATCTGTAGGGGTCAAGTCTAGGATTAGATTGGCCCCATTTGTTTAGGCCTCTAGTGAGTGTGGCACATCACGGCAGGAGCAAGTGCTCACATATCCAGCCAGAAAATAGACTGAAAATAAGCCAAGATCCCAAGCCGGGCGCCAGTGGCTCACGCCTGTAATCCTAGCTACTCAGGAGGTTGAGATCTGGGGATCATGGTTCAAAGCCAACCTGGACAGAAAAATCCATGAGACTCTTATCTCCGCACTAGAAACCTGGAAGTGGTGCTGTGGCTCAAGCGGTAGAGCACTCGCCTTGAGCTGAAGAGCACAGGGACAGTGCCCAAGCCCAGAGTTCAAGCGCCATGATAGGGGAAAAAAAAAGAAAAGAAAGAAGCCAAAATCCCACAAACCCTTTAGGAGCACACTTCCAATTACCTGACCACCTCCTGTGGGTTCTTCTGTGTCCCAATAGCCTCCCTCTGTGGACTAAGCCTTTAACACATGGGCTTTTGAGGGGACACTCATCCAAACAATAGAGATGTCTACTACCTAGAATTCTGTTTTCAAACCCTTGATGCCCCTGAACCTTGTGACATGCAGAATGTCACTGAGTAGAAGTGGTACTTGAGGCATGGAATTTCTAACATGCTTCCCAGAGACACTGTTGCTGCTGGCCCAAAGCTATACCTAGAGTCGTACCTAAGGGTCACATGAAGACCTAGCTAGTCTGTGGGGACAGTGGGAAGAATAGATGAGGGCCACATGATAACTTCAATGACATAACTTTTCCTTCTTTCCATTAGTAAATGTATAAAGGCAAGTGGGCTCTTGGTAGCAACAGGTAGTGTTTGGAGATAGACAATGATTGGCTCAGAGTTGGAGAAACAAGCTCATTTCTCAGCTTTTATCCCAATTGTCCCAGGGTCTGTGTAAGGCTTGTCTCTGTGTACCTATTTCTGTGGTTCTTAGGTAGAAAGTCACCAATAAACCAAATACCTAGATAGCCTAGTCCTTCTGGTGATTTAAATTAACGGGATGGTGTTTTCACTGAGGTGTGAGACTCACCATTGCTAATCAAGGAAAGTTGGATATAATTGCAGTTTGTTAGGTTGGAGGTTCTTTTTTTCTTTTTGAGAAAAATGAATGGACTCCACTTTGGAAGTTAACTAGAGTGAACATTTCAATTTATTCCTGAGCTCAGAAAGAGCTGAAATCCCCAAATTTTGTAAGTAGAATGAATATGGCTCAAAATTTATGAGCTTTTTAAAAGGGTGATGAACTAAATGATCACATAAGTCCTTTTCAGGACTGACATTCCGTGATTCTCTGCTGGCAGTCATCCCAGTCTACATGATAATTCACCCAGCATAAAAGACAACCACGAAGAGAATAGACTGGCCCTGCTTGTGGCAGGTCAGTTCCTGAGCCCAGTGTGGGGCTAATAATCCAAGTTACAGATGAGATCCCGCCTTAACCAGGCCCACTGGCTCTAGTCCACTGCTTTTCAGTCCTGGCTGCATATTAGAGTCAACTGGGGAACATAGGACAAAGTACCTGCTCCAATCTTCAAGGCTCCCAATCATCTGATCTGACATGGGCCCAAGAAAGCAATGCCAGCATCGAGAACCATTGCTGAATACACCAAAGACAGGGGGTGAACTTTCCATTCACAAGGGGCAGCAGACAGTGAATGATAGGTCCCCATAAGTCCATAACTATTGTTAGAAAAAAGCTCCATCATTTTCTGGGAGCCGGTTTTTCTAGGTGCATATGTGTGTGGAGAGACATGTATTTGTATATATTTCATGTACACGTATACAGTGAAGAGGGCAACAACACAGGATTTGAGGTAGAACAAAACTGAATTTGAATCCCAGCTCATCCACTTACCAGTTGACTGATCCCAGGTCAGCTATCTGCTCTCTTAGCAATCTTACCTCACCTCTGTTACCATGTTACCTCTCTCACATGAGGTTGTAACAGTCCATGAAAAGAGCACAGTTTGAAAAGTACCTGGCAACCAATAAGCACTCAGTAAGTTTTAGCTCTTCAATGACAGCCTCATTGGCACCAGTGGCTCACACCACGCATCCTTGGGAGGCTGAGATCAGGAGGTTTAAGGTTTGAGGCCACCCTAGGCAGAAATATCTTCAAGACTCCATCTCAGTGGAAGAAGCTGAGCATGATGGTACTTCTCTGTCATCCCAGCTACAATAGGATGCTTAAAATAGGAGGACTGCAGCTCAGGGATGGCCTGACTGGCCAGGAAGTATGGCTCCATCTAAAGACTAATTATGTGTGTGTGTGTGTGTGTATATGTGTGTGTGTGTGTAGAATGACCATCTCCTCATTCATCTAGGTTACTGTGAACATCCTTGGAGAAAATGATGAAAAGCCAGTGTGTACCCCAAACTCTTATTTCCTGTCTATCCCTGTGGATCTGGAAGTTGGCACAAATATACAGAATTTCAGGCTGATCTGTACAGACCTTGATTCCAGCCCCCAATCTTTTCGCTACTCCATTGGCCCAGGTATAGTATATGATATTATGAGAGCTATCCAGGGAGGCCTGTGTGCTGGGGTTCAGGGGTCAGGTGGGAGGACCTAGTTTGGATGAAGAAGGAAGGGTGAGGAGTCTAATGGTTGTGTGCTACTCTGTACTTTTTTTTGCCGGTCCTGGGATTTGAATTCAGGGCCTGGACATGGTCCCTGAGTCTCTTTGTGCTCGAGGTTAGCACTCTACTACTTGAGCCACAGCACTGCTTCCAGATTTTGTGGATGGTTTATTAGAGAATCTCACGAGGACTTTTCTGCCTGGTCTGGCTTTGAACTGCAATCCTCAGATCTCAGACTCCTGAGTAGCTAGGGTTGCAGGTGTGGAGCCACTGGTGCCAGTTCCTGTGTTTCTTGTAGCTTCCTGTCTCAACAGCTTCCCAGGGCCCTTGCATGCATGGCTGTCCAATGGTATAGAAAGTGTGAATTCCAATGATGGTGGATCCCACCCTCGTCTTCGCCCTCAATTCCTGAACTGCATTATGAGTGCTAAATCACATTTGAGTAATTTTTTTTTCAAATAAAATAGTCCAATTCTTCAACTACCTCATTTTCTGAAAGCTCCGAGTGGGGGCAGGGAATCCCAGGTCTCTCAGGCTAATAATAGATTAAATAGATTAAATGCATTTTTGAAACATGTCCTCAGTAATTCTCTTCTGCTCCATTCATTTTCTATCTTTAAAAATATACCATTGTGGAGAGGGAAAAAAAGAGCACCCCTCAATGGAAATCAGACCAAAATAGCTCATCTAATGAAGTGCAGGGGCCAGAGATTTAAACCCAAACAAGCAGAGCAATTCCATGCAGAAGAGTAAAAATCCATCTTGGCCTCCTGCTGAGCCCTGGCAGAGCAGGAACTGGAGCAGTAGGAAGCCTGTGAGCTGATGTGTCACAAAACCCAGGGGCAGACACTGCCTGGAGACTGCAGTTGCTGAAGATGGAAATAATCCATACTGAGAACCCTAAGGCCTTTGCAGAGCATTTTGCTGCTAAGGGAGTAAAAATTGCATCATCTCCTGCTCCATTTACTGGTTTGCAGTTGGTAATGAGTCTGGAGTCACCAGAGGAATGAGCAAGAACTATGCTCAGGCTGCAGCCTTCCTGCCTTAGGCTCCCTGAGCTCTGAGCTGTGAGCCTCAATAGAGTGCTTGTGTTGAGAGGGGCAGGGTGGGTAGATTCAGAAGGACCTGGGGCTGCAGTCTTTGCAAAGCAAGGAGGCCCTGCAACCAGTGTGACCAACCAGTTCCCTGAAAGGTATGGAATGAACTTGCCTATGACTTGGGAAGCGGTCTATTCTATCTTCTTCCCACCAACTCACTGATCCAAGTGTTAAATATATATATATATATGCATATATACACACATATACATACATATACCAAATAATTGCCCAAGGATAAGCTAGCAGGGATTATGAAGACTCTGTGGCTGGTGGTATCAGCCTTTCTCACTCGTCAATTGGGAGCAAGAGTTTCTTTGTACACATGAAATTTCTGGTACAGCCAAGGCTTTACCCAACCTGGGACCTTAGAAACCCAGTGTAAGTGGATATTTGAAGCAAAGACAAAATTCAGATTCTCTCTCTCTCTCTCTCTCTACCTCTCTCCCTCTCTCTCTCTCTCTCTCCCTCTCATATCTATATAACCTATCTATCCCTTTTTGTGCTGGTACTGGAGCTTGAACTCAGGACCACTTGCTTTCATTTGGCTTTTTTGCTTAAGGGCTGACAGTCTATCACTTGAGTGACATCTCTACTTCCGGATTTTGGGTGGTTAATTGAAGGTAAGAGACTCATGGACTTTTTTGCCTGGGCTGAATTTGAAAACCATAGTCCTCAGATCTCAGCCTCATGGTAGCTAGGATTACAGGTATGATCTTAAGCTTTTATTGTGAGCTCTCTTTTCTTCCACCTGCTAACACCCTTGTATCTAATCTCATTCAGGCAATGTCAACAATCATTTCACCTTGTCTCCCAATGCTGGCTCCAATGTCACACACCTGCTGCTCGCATCTCGTTTTGACTATGCTGGTGGTCTTGATAAGATTTGGGACTACAAACTACTTGTCTACATAACTGATGACAACTTGCTGCCTGGCAGGAGGAAAGCAGAGGCTCTTGTTGAAACAGGGACAGTGACTTTGAGCATTAAAGTCATTCCCCATCCAAGCACAATTGTCACCACAACTCCCAGGGTAAGGGATTGGAGACCTGGAGTCCCTAGCCACATGCCCTTGGGATTTCTATCAATGGCGCTCTTAGCCCAGGAAAAGTGGGGGAAGAACTGAAAAGAGTTGAGGCATTTAGCTGAATTTGAGTGGCTAAATTGGGTGGTAGATGGAGATCTGAGCAAGACCTTGGCCTTCTAGAATTATTAACTTCTTTTTCTTGTAAAGAAGGATGTGTATTTGTGCAGAGACCTTCAACTGCCCCTGGTACTTGTGACATGGGAGCAAATTTTCACGGGCCTGGTGCTGATGCTACATGCACAGCCCCTTCTCTGTCTATAAGAGCCAATGTCAACAAAGCCAGGCAGCTAGCTAGCTGCTCTGTCCCACCTCTTCCCAAAAGTCACTATGTGTACCCCAAATCTCCCTCCAATCTACCTATAGTGATATGATGTTTGCAAGTGTCAATTACTTCGGTGAATAAACCAAAAAAATGGTCTCTGCCCTCACAGAACTTATGATATAGGTCAGAGTGTTCTCCAAGTTTAGTTGCTAGACCAGCAACATCAGCATTCCCTGGACACACACTGGAAAATGAAGGTATTTTTCTGTAATTCCAGCTACTCTGGAGGTAGAGATAGGAGGATCAAAACCTAAGCAAACGTTAGCAAGATCCTATCTCAAAAATGAGCTAGGTATGGTGGTTCCAGCTCCTCTGGGAGGTAGGGATCAGAAGATCAAAGTGAGAGCAAACCCAGGCAAAAGTGAGAGACCTTCCTTATCTGAAAAGCAAAGTTTGAAAAAGTAAAAAGACTGGGGACATTTTCCTAAATCACCATGACTTCCTGGGCAGGATGTTGGAACCTGGAATCCCCAAACAAGCAACTTAAATTCTCAGGATTTCTGATATTACTAAAGTTTGAGAGCCACTGACATAGAAGAAGAGGACAATTATGAACAAGTATACTAGTGAAATAAATGATTACTGATGATGATCAATGGTAGGACACATCTAAGCAGGTGGCATAACAGAATCAGGGTGCAGAGAGAAAGATATGCCAACAGGATTATCTCCCCTGTCCCCCCCCCAAGGAACTAGTCCCTTTCCCTTTGTCCCATTTCCTCCTCCTTGTTAAGAACTACATACTGGTAGCATGCCATATGAAAGTAATCAGAACCTTGGAAAATTACCTGTGGAGGATAAACTTCTTCTGCCTCTCAGTGTCTTGCCAAAAGCTAGGTAATACTTCTCTCTCCTGTGTTTGAATCCAATGAGTAGAGACATGTGACAACCTGTGTGCCTTTCATATAGCTGTGACTAAAACACCTGACACGACAAGCTAAAAAGAGGAAGAATTTATTTTGACTTGTAGATTTAGAGGGTTCAGTCCGTGTTCCCTGGTTTTGCATGCTTAGGCAGAACATCATGGCAGTAGGACTTTGTAACAGAGGGAGGTTGTTCACCTCATGATGAACAGGAAGTAGAGGGCCAGAAGGACTGGGAGCCAAGTATAACCATTAAAAGCATGCCCTAGTCATCTACTTCCTGTAGTTAGTTAAGCTCCACTTCCTAAGGTTTCCAAACCCCCCTGAACTAGGACTGCCAGCTGGGGACTAAGTAGTTCAGCATATGAGCCCACGGGAGACATTTCATATTTGAAACAAGCCCTAAGGACTTCCAATGTGGGAGGAGCTAGAAGTCTCCACTCCACCACCCTGAGTAAAAAATTACCACCTTCCTTGGTTGTACTCATGGCCCAATTGTGACATCTCCAATTCTGAAATCTCTATAACTTGTTTGCTATCGTCTCCCGCTCAAGGAAGCAGATGTTGAACCTGAGGTCTCGGTGTGATCGCAGCCCACTCATCTGGCAGTGGCAGCTGTACAGAATGAATACTGAAAAGCCTACAAGGTGTTAAAAAAAACAACTTTCATGGTTCGTGTCTTCTCAGTGAGAGACAATGGCTATATTAGTCCCTGGATTATGCTGTGTTATGGGAGAAAAACAACCAGTGGATGTTTTAGCTTTGGGAAAGAGGAAGAGAGGCAGTGAATGAAATCAGGCCAGAAGTTGCTTTTCATCTGGACCTAATGGATATTTGTAAAGTCTATCACTAAGGGGATAGATGGAAGCAGGAAGAACTGCAGCACATAGATGTCCAATTCACAGTGCAAGAGTAGTGGAAATAAACACTAGACCCAAGAGAGTATGGTGTGTCCAACTCCCCTCCCTGTCTCTGCCATTCAAGCCCAGGATCACCTACCAGATCCTCAGGGAAAACATCTACTCTCCATCCGCGTGGTATGTGCCTTTTGTCATCACTGTGGGCTCCATATTGCTTCTGGGTCTCCTGGTGACTCTGATCATCTTGTTGACCAAAGCCATCTACAGATACTGCCCCTGCAAAGCTGGGAAGGACAAGAAATCTCTGTAAGTTGCTGGTGGGCTGGGCCCCTGCCCCAGGATTTCTGGGCAGAGCAGTGTGCCTGGAATATAGGAAGAAAGAAATGGAAGGGAGCAATGCCAGCTGCCCTTGGTCCCAGGACCTTGCCCTGGATAAAGACTTATTTTAGAATACTGACAGGAAAGGGTAGCATAAAAGAAGCATAAAGGGAATTAAGATTTTGGTGTCAGTGACTCCGTTGGGCTTTTGTATGTCTATTGGCAGGGAAGCAGGGTAAACCCAGGCCAACTTTCTCTCTATCCTGCTCTCATCTGCACATGTATATGATTCTTATGGTGAAAGCCTACCTGGTGTCCTTGCCTGGCTAAAGCAAGGTAGTGGCAGACCATGACCACAATATGAATTGTCGCCAAATTCTCCCAGAGTTTCAGAGTCCTCAGCAGCTCTTGCAGACATAGAATGATGAGCTAAGCTTGAGTTTTAGAATTAGACATGTGTTCAGTTCTCGGCTCTGTTAGTTTCTTTGGTTTGGGGCAAGTGAGAATCTCTGTAAACTTCAATTTCCTCATTTGTAAGACTAATCAATTTAACAAGTCAACATACAAAAGGAAAGTAAAAGCACTTGGCACTATTCCTGATATTTTAAGTTTCTGCTGCATTATTTTTCATAGCTAAGATCTAGTGAGATTAAAATTCAAGATTTCAAGTTTAATTCTATGCCCAGGTAACTTGGGTTGCGGACACCTATGAATTCCAAGATTCCCCAATGGCAAAAAAAAGAGTGATAAATTCATGCATGTTTTAAAGGTATTTGAAGACTAGTTGTTAACTAGTCATTTTAAATCTATGGATGAAAGACTTCATTAGCAGAAGAATGTGCATTGCAGTTTGCCATATTTATTGAAGAGGTTTGTTGCCAATGGCAACCTTGACTTCAAGGTAAGAAAACAGTGAGCATTTGCTGAAATTATAAAAGACATTTTGTTTGGACTCTGCTCACAAATTGACTTCTGAAAATCTGATCATGAAGGAGAGAGGCATAATCTTGTAAGGATGGAAAGGGTGGCTGTGCCCTGCAATGGGATTTGGGTAGAAGATCTTGGAGGACATAGAACAATCTGATAGACACATGTGCATGACTCATGACTCAAGTGCAACTTATGGCTGAATGTTAAATAGGCACCTTGAACCTGGTTGTTTCTATTTTAAATTGTTTTCAGCATGGGCAACTTAGGAAAAATAGCTAGAAATTCAGTCTCAGACCTGGCCTCTCTGAAAGCTGGTAAGTTAGTTATATAGCCAATATTTGTCAAAAAGTGAAGGAGCGGGGACTGGGAAAGAGTAAAGGAAGGGAAGACAATGTACAAAAGGAAATATACTCATGTAATTATAATCCTTCTGGCTGAGAGCTAGTGGCTCATGCCTGGAATCCTATTAACTCAGGAGGCTGAGGTCTGAGCATTGTGGTTCAAAGCCAGCCCAGGCAGGAAAAATCCATGAGACTCTGTCTTCCAATTATCCACCAGAAAACTGTAAGTAGAGCTGTGGCTTAAAGTGGTAGAGCACTAGCCTTGAGCGGAAGAGCTCAGGGACAATACCCAGGACCTGAGTTCAAGCCCCACAACCAACAAAAAAAATAAAATAAAACAATAAATCCCTCTGTACATCACCTTTATAATAACATTAAGGTAAATAATCAAATTTTTTAAAGTAAGAGATCAAATTATAGTCATAGAATATTAGAAATGAAGGTTATCACACGAAGGGTTTAAGTCCAGTTCGTCATGGTACAGGAAACCAAATTGAACTGCCAACCCTTGAAACTGCTCTGCCATGAGTAGAGCCCTTTAGTCTATTTTACTGGGGAGACAAATGGGGGTGAGAATCACCAGGCATGACTGAGCTAGTCATGCCCATCATGCCCTCACCAGAGACACCATCATCCCTGGATTTCTGTAAAGCAATAGTTTCAAATGTGTCAACTTCCCAGCACCTCCCAGTCCAGTAACAGAGCTGCAGGGGTGTTAACCAAACCGCTCCCTGGCCCTTTCAAGCCAGCCTCAAAATCCCAAGGGACAAAGTTACCCAAAGGATCTCATGTTATGATGTATGCTCCTATACAGAATACTTTCAGATTAATTAATTCATGTGTCTCCTTTTCCCTCTGTCTATAGGGCAAAGAAAGAAGGTATGTACAGTGCCTTTTCTCATGGTTGTTTGTTGGGTTTTTATTGCTGTGTTGTACTGAGTATAAACGGCTCTAATTCAGAACCAATCAGGGCACAAGCATGTCTTGGTGAGTGCTTAAATGCATCACTGTGGTTAGGGTAAAGCAGGGGGCAGAGGTTGCATGGAAGGGCTGGGTACATGATGGGTTTGGTACCTTCTGCCCACTCCCCTAGGTCCTGCCTGCTTTCTACCAGAGTCAGCTCCAATCAGCTCAGCTTAGTCAGCTTATGTATGTTTGGGGTCTTTTTCCTTTTATTTGACTACTGAAGTTTGAACTCAGTATCTTGGGCTTGTTCAGCTTACATTCTACAACTTGAATCATACCTCCAGCCTGACTTTTTGCTGGTTATTTTGGAGATAGAGTCTTGAAGACTTTTTGTCCAACTGGCTTCGAGATGTGATCCTCTCAATCTCAGCCTCCTGAATAGCTAGGATTACAGGCGTAAACCACTGATGCCTAGTGTATGTGTGATTTTCTTGTGAGAAAATGGAAAGCTGTCACTTGCCATGTAGACAGATAGAAAAATTCTTTGCTTTTTCTGTAAGAGTGAGTTCACAGCCTGTTTGGGGGAAATGCCACAGTGGAGGTAGAATTTTCAGGATCATTTAGTGCCCAAGCAGCTGCCTGTTCACTTCTGCCTGTTTTCTTCCCCGCAGAAATGAAGAACACGAGGAATGAGATGGTGGTGGTGAGTGTGTGGGAACTGTAGTAACCTGGCTGGGGCTGCGGGGGCACTCCCGTCCCCCCTCAAGTCTCAGGGGCCTGTTTATTATTCAGGGAGGTGCGTGCACTTGGCCTAGGGCCCAGCCTACCATGCGATGAGCTCCTGATAGAATTCCTTCCCTCCACTGAACATGTCTGTGACTGTATTTGCAGAAGCACCAGGTTTCATAAATATTGAGTAGTGGTGTTGATTATCTGCACCAGCTCTCCAGCAGAGTGTATTGGGGGAGTAGAGTTTATCCACCAGAACCGGCGCTTCAGCTCTCAATGGGATTTAATCTTTCTTTACTCTTCCACAACCTTGCAGAGAAGCCATAGAGAAAGAGCTCTGCTTGGGGCTGAGCTTGGCTCTATGGCTTAGCCGAAATGACCTTGGGGATTGCTGGACCTCTGGGAGATTTTGATTCCTTGTGTGTGTGTGTGTGTGTGTGTGTGTGTGTGTGTGTGTGCACATGCGTGTGTGTGTGAATTGAGGAGGAAAGGCAGCTGCCCTGAGGCAACAGGTGGGGAAATGTTTGGGAAATGAGGTGTGGCACCAGATGCAAAGCTCAGAAGATAGCTGGAGAGTTCTGGCTCCACCTCACCTTCTTTTCTTTCTTTTACCAAGCCTGATGAACTCACTGGGAAGTGACTCCCTCATACCCCCAGTTCTTCCCTGCTCCCCATAACAGAACTTTGCTCTACTCCAGGACATACTCAGTAACTATGTGCAGTAAAGACATTGATGCCAGGCACTGAGTTCCTCCTTTAAGCTGGTCACCTTAGAGCTTCCTCTATGTTCTGTTTGGAAGAAGCAATCTTCAGTCCTCAGAGATTCATTCTAAGAGAAGTCCTCTTGGGTATGACACTCAGAGATAGCCTTGGAACATGCAATATTGATCTATTAAATAAATAAAACCCTGGTGACTGCAAAAGGTGTTACTGCTTAGATGACCCCGGTTAAACTCCACACGCCCTTCTCAGTCACCCGCTAAGGACCTTGGCATCAGCTGGGTACAGTGGCTCCCATCTGCCATCCCAGCTAACTTGGGAGGTAAAGATGAGGAAGATTAAGGTTTGAGACCAGCTCTCCACAGGGTGAGTAGTTAGCATGACCCCTTCTCATCAATGCAACAAGCTTGGTAGTGCAGGCTGTAATTGCTGCTATACAGAAGGCACAAGTACAGAGAGGATGGTGGTATAAGCCCAGCCCCAGGTACCACTCCTCCAGAAAAAAGCGAGACCCTATCCGAACAATAACAAGCATTAAGAAGGGGGCTCCACTGGTAGACTGCAAATACAAAATCCTGAGTTCAAACCCCAGAACTACTAAAAATGAAAATAATAAAAATCCCTGATCTCGGGGCTTTAAAGGGAATAATGTGAGGGAAGGGGGTGTCCATGGGGCCCAGGACAGAATACCCCATAGAGGTCAGGACCTGGAGGGGAGCCCAGAGCCTAGAGGTGGTACTGCATGGATTAGGCGAGGGCAGGCAGTGGTAGGAATGCCAGAGCTGGTATGGGAGCTCCGGGGTCTGCTTTACAAGTCTGCCTGCCAGTGACCTTACCAAGGCAGGGCAGGCCATTGCTTAGGGGTCAATTACTCAGGGTGAAGTGGGGGTGGGGTGGGAGGGGGCTTTCTTAACCCCTAGTCTGGGTTCATTGTCTTACCTGTATCTCACAGTACCCACTATCTCCTGTCACAGCTTCATGACTCCACACAGTAGCCCTATGTGTCAGAGGAACGCATTGTGCAGACAATCACTCTCCACCCCGTTCACCTTGGTGCACCCCCCCATCCCCCTCTACCCCGCCCTGGCACCTGGCATTGAACAAATCCTGTTGAGAAGCTTCAGGAAGGATCTCAGGCTGTGGGAATGGGGAGTCTGGCCTGGAGTGGGGCTACTGCAGCATTGTGTTTGAAAGGGTCTCTCTTCTCCTTAGGAGATGGTCAAGACAAGCACTGTCTTCGATGGAGAAGCCGTAGACCCAGGTAAGGCCAGGGCAGTAGCACCCACAGAATACTTTTCAGACCCAGCAAGGCACAGTCCAGGCTCCTGCTTTTCACTCTGTTGTTGCATTTGACCATGTTGCCTGTGGTACAGGGCTGTCCCTTCTGAGGCTAAAATACAACTTGAGATGAGCTCTGGGCACAGCCAGCATGCCGATGTGCAGGCTAAGCTCTTGGGTGGTGCCTTCCAAGCCTTCCACCTGCAGCCTTTCCTAAGGACCTTATTTCCTTCTTGCCTTCTGGTCCATTTACAAACTGGGAAGTGGTGAATTTGAGAACCATATATATTTTTTAACTGATCCTTGTACTTCCTGCGATTACCCCCCCCCCCCCCCTTCCCAAGTAATGCTTCTAGGGCCATCCTATCAGGAGTAGGAGCAATGGCAAGTTTGGCTGCTATTTTTTCTTAGGTCAGGGCCAAGAATTTCTTCTTGGTCAGCACGGTGAACATAAGGTAAAGTTGGCCTCCAGAGTTCTCATTACCCCCCTGAAATCAGCTCCAAATTGAGCTCCTTCACACACATCCCTCTGCTTACAAAGGCTCAATTATAGACACGAATAAAGGGAAGGAAACCAAATTCAGAGGCAAGTGTGCTGGCTCCCTGCCACCCTCATAAGCAAACGGCTCTGGTCGGAGACGGAGGATGGCTCCTCTCCAGTGAGAAGCTGCTGCTGTTGGAATTAAATTTCCCTCTATTATTAGGTACTTGTTACCATAATGCGCCCACATTAGCATAAGTGCTGGTGGGATCCTGAGCCGAGAGGCCGCCTCATTCCTTCTGGAAGAGGCAGGAGCCTGGGCCTTGGCCCTCAAACCCTGACTCCCAAAGCAAAAACCAGGGAAGACCTTGGTGGGTTTTTGTGTGTTTGAGAGAAGAAAAAAAAAAAAAGGAAGACATGAGCCAACTGGTTTAATGTGAACAAACACAACAATTAATGTCTGCTGGCTCTGACACAATAAAAAGGCTTCCCTCCCCTCCTCTCCAGCCAGGCCAGATCTGTGTGTCTGTGTGGGCAAATCTCTGCCAAACTAACATAAATAAAAATCAAAGGCTTTCCCTCATTACTTGTGAATTCCTTCTTATAGCAGGGATTCGAGGATCTTTTTTAAAACAAGAGAAATCAGAACCGAATGGGTACCCCTAGTAAAGATCAAATAATCCAGGCAATGGCCACAGGAGATCAAGATTTTCATCCTGAACTCATCTCATATGTGAGATACCCTTAAGCAACCCCTGGCTCCACCCCTTAATTTTTGTCGTCATAGATGTGTGCCAGGTGCTGCCTCCGTGGCCTGGGCTGCACAGCTTGGGACAGGCAGGCTGGGGAAAAGATTCTGCTGCACATAAGAGACCCACACTGCCTTCCAGAACACTGTGGCCTTCCCTGGCCGTCAGAACAGAGAGGGGTGGGGGTGGGGGAGGAGGTGAAGCAAGGCAGACTTGTTTGAATTCTTTGATTTAGATGATTGTTGTATTCCTTCCACCATCCTCTTCTAGTGACTGGGGGAATATATGAATTCAACTCCAAGACTGGAGCCAGAAAATGGAGAGATGCGCTTACCCAAATGCCAAACTGGACAGAGCCTAGCCCCTGGAAAACGGCCACCGGCTCACAGAGAACTACTGCGGGGGAAGGGCCTGGCCTACAAGGAGAACCCACGATGAAGGAGATAGGCAGAGGGCAAAGCACAGAGAGAGGATACTGGACCAGCTTTCTGAAGTGAAGATAGAAAGCTGGGCACCCCAAAGAAACTCAGCCCTTGTAAGCAGGACAAACCCCAAGCCTCACAAAGGAACAAGGCCACCATGCAGGCAGGGAAGGGCTTGTGTCCACCTTATAACCACTATCAAGGATTTACTTTCACATCTGGGTTCAACCAATATTCCCATTCGTATTTGAACCTCTCTCAGATTTCCCTTATAAATAAACTCAACACCACACACCTCTGTGAGTCACCTCAAATCTTTTTCAAAGCATGGGGTTAAAAAAATGGATGAGCAAATTATGAGTTGTCCAGCTGGGAAGAAAAAGACACACTACACACCTTCTTTTATTCCATGTGTTACTGAAGTGATAAAGCAAATAGATCTAAGGTGTTCAAGTCTATGGGTTGCCTTTCCGCCTCTGAGAGACCACTAATCTTTATCATCTTAGATTGCTTTTGCCTTTTTTGAATTTCATGCCTCATCGTGGAGGTGGTCAGTTTTCCTCAAAGCCTTATGCCCTCTATACCTCAATCTATCCATTCTGCACACTCATCTTTTCACTATTGTGCCTTGCAGCACTTAGAGCTTTCTTGTACTTCTTTTCCCCCCTGGAACATGGACACTCATTGCTTCGAGCATGTAGCTAAGAGGAAGATTGCTGGAGCATGGCTATTTCCAAAGACTTCCAAGATGGTGACTGCAATTTATACTCCGCATCCAAGATGGAGAGTTCTGGTCTTTTGGGACTGTCAGTCTTTTTGCATTAGCCATTCTGGTTAAATGAGCTGACACACCACCACCCTTACAACTTTCTGCCAGGCCCCTTTCCACTTCAACTGGAGGTTCCACAAGACTCTGAGTGGAAGCCCATGGGAAGTTCTACCCTGCCCTGGTAGGGTAGATACCCTGGTATCCTGGTGGGATCCAACTGAAACTTTCCAATGTGGGCCTAGCACAACCCCACGAGCCAGCTTCTATCCTACTCTCCAGTTGTAGGAGGGTCTAGCCCCTGAACCACAAGAAAGGACCAGGTGGGATCCCCCTTCCTGCGGGAGAGACCAGTAACACCCCTTCTCTGCCCGCCGCCCCCCCAGTCTCACAGTGGCCTGGGGCAGGCTCCGAGGGTTCACCCCACAAATGAAGGCCCCTGGGGAGCCCCGGAGTTTACCAAGTCAGTGTGACTTCTCCCAAAAGAGACATTTGTGAAAGGCCCTGGCCTGGCCTAGACTGGGCAGGATTTATTAACAAGGGCTGGTTGCAGGAAACTCCCTTCCAGGGTTTAAATTTTGGCAGAAGCAGGCTGAGCTCTTTCCTGGTGAGGGGTAAAGTGGGTGACGTGGTTGATTACCATTTAAGATTTTGCAGGTCCATTGGGGCCCTGATTGAAATGACTTCCTCAGAAACGCTCAGCTTCTTTCTGTGCAAGTAAAATGAGGCTCTGTGAAGGCTGACGGGAGCTTTAATAACTGTTCATGGCCCTTGCGGATGATTAGGAAAGCGCTGAGCTTTTTCCTGCCTTCTCCTGTGAGTATGGCACTGGGGCTGAATGGCCAGCAGGAGGGACCAGGAGGGACTTCCCTAGGGGCGGGCTCTGGTGAGCATCCTCCTTGGTGATGATGACAGAACCTGAGGCTCCTCCAGGCCCCCTATGGGGTGGGCCCAGAGAGACGTGAGGAATGGGGCAAGAGGCCTTGAAAACAACATTCCTCCACCCCAACCTGTGTGTTTGCCTATTTGGCAATCTGTTGAAAGGAAATCAGAAGACAGGTTCAAGACAGAGACCATAAAAGAAGAAAAGAGAAAGAGTTATCTGGATGAAATGAAGCTAGCAACCAGGGTAGAGCTGGTGTTTTCCCACATTTCTTCTCAGGCCTTAACGATGTATGAGCTGTTTGTAGCCAGTGTTCACATTCCTCAATCTGATGCATTACATCAGGGGAAGCCAGGTGCTGGTAACTCATCCTAGCTACTCAGGAGGCAAAGATCTGAGGATCACCTTTTGAAAGCCAGCTTGACAGGAAAGTCTGTGAGACTCTTATCTTCAAGTAGCCACCAAAAAGCCAGAAGTGGAGCTGTGGTTCAAATGGTAGAGCTCCAGCATTGAAAGAAGAAGCTCAGAAACAGAACCCGGGCACTGAGTTCAAGTCCCAATATTGGCACACATACGAAAAAAGACAGACAGACAGACAAATAGATATGCCTGTATATGAGTATGTTAATGGTGGTAAATGACCTTGAGAAAAGTAAACAGAGGCAGGGGTGAGAGAGGGGGAGATGGCCACTTTAAATAGGTCCACTGGGGGGAGGGTGGTGAGAGTAAACAGTGGAAATGAGAAGGAGCCTTGCAGATTCCCGGGCAGCGCCTTCTGGGCAGAGAGCACCAGGACAAGAGCACATGGAGGAGCAGTGAAGAGGATAGAGGCTAAAAGAGCTGCCTACAGGAAAGGTGAGCGGGGCAGTTGTGTGTGTCTGTGTGAATGGCATGCTGGGGATGTGTGGTACTCAGCATGTGCATGGGAAGGTGGCCACACACAATGTAGGCATCAGGCCACTGCCATGAAGCTTTGACTCTGAGTGTGGTGAGGAGCCATTACAAGCTTTTGAGCAGAGGAGTGACAGCACTTGGTGTTCTGAAGCATCTCTGATTGGTCATGTGAGACCACAAGAAAGATATCAGTGAGGTAGCTGTTGGGTGAATCCAGATGGGACATGGTGGTGGCTGGGGCCAGCAGTAAAGGTGGGGATGATGGAAACCTTGCACCTCCCACTCCTTTGAAGTAAGGTCTCAGAGAAGACAGACATTTCCTTATTCCAGCCACAGACAATAGTTCTGCAGCAGGGTTTAGATACTTACTCAGAAGAAATGTCCAGCTGCTATTGGTGACGAGAACTTCCTGCTAAGATTTCCAACAATGCTTCTAAAGAACCATGCACAAGGTCTGAACAATACCTTTCTGGTTAAATGCCTTCTACCAGGAGACCTTGAGCTATAGGAAACTCCTCTGACTTTTGCCTGTGATCTCCCAGCATCTAAGATCTTTGGAAATGTGTATGATTGAGGAGACAAAGAGAGAGGAGTGTATCCTGGAAAACTAGAGCCTTATGTTTAGAGACATTTGGAGACACTCCCTCCTTACCATGGTGCATCGTACTGTTTCCATGGGGACAAATCAGAATGATAGGTCCTGGTTTGGAGTTTGGAAAATGTCCCTGGAAGTCTTGAGATCAAGGCAAGGCGTGCTCGCGAGGCTTTGCTTCTTTCTGTGTGATGTCTGCAGGGTGAGGCTGGACGGAGCATGGCATGAGCGCCCTGCCGCCCTCGTGCTGAGCCCAGCATATGGCAGAAGGCTTTGCTTTTTTGCAGAACAGCCCATGGCTGCCGCGTCTCCTCCAGAATCTGCGCAGCTGAGGGAGGAAAGCTGGTTAATGTGATTTACAGTTGGAGCTCATGAGAGCCTCACTCCCGCCCTGCCCATTTCATTTGTTCAGCCACAGACAGCATGCTCCAGCTGGCATGATAAAGGTCTTTTTTTCCTAAGTAAGAGTTTTTATTATGATTTAATCTGCAGGCCATAGAACTCAGTGGGTTTTCATATACCACAGAGTTGTACAAGCGTCACCACAACACAATTCCTCAAGTATTTTCATCACCCCAAATAAACCTCACAGCCACAAATAGTCATTCTCTGACCCAGATACTGGCACCTGCTAACATCTATTTTCTGGCCCTATGGATTTACCAATTCTAGACATTTCATATAAAGGGAAACCATATAGTATTTGTTCTTTAGTGTCTTGTTTATTTCATTTAGCATAATGTTTTCAAGATACATCCACATTGTACATGCATCAGTACTTGATCCCTTTTTAGAGCTGCATAATACTTCATTGCCCAGATATACCACATTTTGTTTATCCATTTTTGATTGACGGATATTGATTTGGATTGTTTCCATCTTTTAGCTATTATGAATAATCCTGCAATGAATAAAGCTTTAACAGGTACACAAACAAGTTCTCTCTTGGGTCCACCTAGGAATGGGTTACTGGCTCTCAAGGTACATGAGAAGTTGCCAGACTATTTCCCACACTGGCGAATCCTCCTACATTCCCACTAGCAGTGCATGAAGGTCTCATAAGCTTTATCTTACAGACACATCAGTCGCCACCCACTCAGGTTGTAGGGTGGAGCATTCAGTCCTTCCCAGATCCCATGCACTTGGTTTGAGGGGGCGGGGCATGGTTGGAATATCATTATATGCTACTGAGCTCCACTGTGACAGCTTTCCTTACACCTGAGCAATCTACAAAGAGGTCTCTGTAAATCTCTGCCTAACTTGAGTTGGGCCCTCTCTTCGTGTGATCAATAGTCTTCCACAGATACTACACAGTATCCTGAAACTTGAGGACGATCTCCATTTACACATGAGAAAATGAAGGTTGGAGAGATGAGAACACATACCCTAGGATCAGCCAAGAAGTCTACCTGAACATGTCTCCTCTTTGTTTATGTGGGAAGGACTTAGCAATAGCCTTGGTTTGTATTCTGATGGGAAAAGATGTCAGATGTTTGGACCCCTCCCCCTGACCCTCCACTCCCACCACTGGATCACTGAATGAATACTTGCTGCCCTGACAGTCCCCGGGCTTCTCATAGCTGTTGAAATCAAGCCTTTTGGACAAGCAATGTACTCTAAGAGCATGTGCAAAACTTACATCGGGTGTTTGAAATAGCCACTGGCCTCCCACAGTCCCACCAAGCCCAGAACACTGCTTTGAGCAGTGTGAAGTACAAAGTATCTTCCTTTCTCTATCTGTTGCTCAACAGAGGAAGTCTCATCTCAGCTGTGAGGATTCAAGCATCTCCCAGGGCCACGCAGGTAGTCACATTGGACCCTTTCCTCAAGGCTGATGGGGCTGCAGTTACTCATCTTGGCCAGCAGGGGCACTGTGCTGTGGTCACTTAACTCCTGTGAATGGTCCAGAGGGAGACAAGACCAGCTCTGCCTTCTTTCTA